ATTTTTTGTAATTCTTTGTTTTCCTAAAGGTTAAGAGGCTATTACAAAGTCTTCATGTTTGATCACATTATAAAGTAAACATTCTTGCATTAGAACTGCATTAAAAGCCTTATTAGTTATGGTGCCAGGAGGTCCTTGGCGCTTTCTTATCGTTGGAGGTCAAAGGACCACTATAGGCACCCCAACCACTTCAGCTTAATGAAGTGGTCTGGATGCTGGGTCCAGCTAGGATTAACCCTTTCTGCTGTAAACATAGCCGTTTCAGAGAAGGGTTAATCCAGCCTCTAGTTGCTGTCTCATTGACAGCCGCTAGAGGCGCTTCTGACTGTGCAAATCACAGTGAGAAGACGCTCGACGCCTATAGAAAAGCATTGAGAAATGCTTTCCTATGGGCGGTTTGAAAGCACATGCAGCTCTTGCCGCGGATTCGGGCGCTGTCATAGGCAGGAGGAGGAGAGCTCCCCGGCGCTAGAGAAAGGTAAGTGGCTGAAGGGGTTTTAACCCCTTCAGCCCAGCAGGAGTGGGGCCCTGAGGGTGGGGGGGGACCTAAAGACCCTATAACAAGTTTGTTTTCCTAGCACCATAGTGGTCCTTTATACCGTTAACTAACTGTTTAACCCCAAAGTCTGTGCACCAGCACCATTCCACTCTCCCCCCACCCCATTCCACTTTCTGTAACTTTTTAGATGTTTTAATGATTAGGGCGCTACAGATTGGTTTAAAACTTCAGCTGACCTCTGTAACTAGCCTGCCGTTATAAAGAAACCTTAACCTTCTAACCCAGCCCCGGCTTTGTGTGACTGTCCAATGCAGCTCCATGAGAAGTCCCTGCAAGACAGGTGCTATAGGTAAATAACTTTGGCTTCACTGAGCTAACAAAACCAAGATGTCTGGCAGTGAGGTGGGTGTAATAAAAGTATGATTGATTGTTGGGGGCTGGGGGGTTGCAACAAAGTTAATTTAAAATAAAATGAGTGGGTTAATTTGTTAATTTCTATTGAAATCTTCACTTTTTGTAAAATGGGGAAAAAAAGACACACTTCACATGTGAAGCACTTTAGAGTGTCCCTTCAAACAAAATCTTCACATTTAAAATAGAGGATTACACATATTCGAGCCTCCACTCTAACTCCAAGCAGCAATGGGCAGCAGTGTGAGGTGGAGTGCTGTCTGCCTATCACAGGTGTCTATTGCTGGTATGAATTGGTACGGCTAAAGTGGATTCTTGGCTCTGCCAAACCCATAACTCCAGCCGAGCTAGGCTGTAGGCACCTGGGACCATCATATATTTGAAATGAACATTAAGTCACTTAGACTACTTCATCTCAGTGGTCCTGTTATTATTATTATTATTTATGACTATAGAGCATGCGCGGCAAACGCTGCACCAGTTAGCATTTCCTCATAGACATGCACTGAATTAATAAATCTCTATGAGGAATGTCCAGTGCCTCCATGCAGCACTGACCCAAGAAGAACCCCTAGTAGCTTTTGAGTGACTGCCATTGGAGGGGTCCATTAGCAGCAATGTAATCACTGCCTTACATTAAAATGCCTGCAGGGATATACTATAGACAACAGAAATACTTGATTAAGCTGTAGTTTTTCTGGTGACTATAGTGTCCCTTTAACATCTGCCGTTGAACACTAATCATCCTGTGACATCCGTTGTTGTTTTATTATATTTTGGTATTCGTAAGCAGAATAAACCTAAAGAAAAAGTACCTCTGATGCGTAGAGTGATTTTTCTACAGTGGTTTTGATACTTTTTATGAACTTTCACATTGCTTTTCTAAGTGTGAAGGAGTAGTGTAAGCCATTTCATTGGCCATGGCTCCCGTTTAATACAACAAGAGGATAGAACCCTTAACTGCTGACCACCCATTACTCCGAAACCCTGAACCTTTAAATAAATCATACAACACCAGAATTTTCTTTTTGGGTAGGGCAACGGGCACAGCTTTATTTCATATATAATGGACTGTCAGCTACTGGCTAATAACCAGTAGACAGCTTCTCCCCATGACATCCAAGAATCTTCCACAATCCGCATCCTGTCTTTTGACCAAGAGGCAGGTTGTAACTTCCTAAGCCCGTTAGGACAGACATTCCCAATACATATGCTGTCGAGTCAAAAAAAGATGTGACAAAAGAAGAACAGAACAAAACAACCACAAACGATACAATAATAAACAATTCAGAATACATGGATTACCTCTGTGGCAGCAGTCATGTCCCCTCCCCCCTTCCAGTTGTCAGGGTGGGGGGAGTCCTTGACTGCTGACCACCCGTTACCCCTAAAACCCTGAACCTTTAAATAAATCACTCCACACCAGAATTTTCTAACGGCCACTGCTTTATTTCATATATAACTGCCAGGAACTTAAAACGGACTGTCAGTTCCTGGCTAATAATCAGTAGACAGCTACTATTTAGGTGCTTTAGTGTAGACTCCATGGATACATGGTAAGACTTTTTGGGAATGGTGCAGGTCCTGCTCGTCAATTGGAAAGGCAGCCGCCCCTTTAGTCACTAAGGGCAGGTGATGTGCCAGCAGATTCCAGCTCGGGGGGGGATGGGGAGTTCAGCAGGACTGCACCAAGAGCTTAAAGGGACACTATAGTCACCTGAACAACTTTAGCTTAATGAGGCAGTTTTGGTGTATAGAACATGCCCCTGCAGCCTCACTGCTCAATCCTCTGCCATTTAGGAGTTAAATCCCTTTGTTTATGAACCCTAGTCACACCTCCCTGCAGGTGACTTGCACAGCCTTCCATAAACACTTCCTGTAAAGAGAGCCCTATTTAGGCTTTCTTTATTGCAAGTTCTGTTTAATTAAGATTTTCTTATCCCCTGCTATGTTAATAGCTTGCTAGACCCTGCAAGAGCCTCCTGTATGTGATTAAAGTTCAATTTAGAGATTGAGATACAATTATTTAAGGTAAATTACATCTGTTTGAAAGTGAAACCAGGTTTTTTTTTCATGCAGGCTCTGTCAATCATAGCCAGGGGAGGTGTGGCTAGGGCTGCATAAACAGAAACAAAGTGATTTAACTCCTAAATGACAGTGAATTGAGCAGTAAAATTGCAGGAGAATGATCTATACACTAAAACTGCTTTATTTAGCTAAAGTAATTTAGGTGACTATAGTGTTCCTTTAAGAGCAAGGAGGTTAGCTGCCCCTCCCTAGCTCCACTCCCAATAGGCCGCAGCTGAAGTTTTCAAGCCACCGGCGGGTGATAATCACGATTAAAGACTCCAAGTGGTCATCTCGGAGCCCCCGACTCAAGAAGTGCTCTTCAGTGGGTTTAACTGTGTATTGACCAGGGTAATCACTCCAAAATTGGTTTGAATGTCAGGAGCTCGAGCACCTCATGTCTGCTAAGCTTGGAAGCTAGGCTCTGCCCCCCATGGACACTGTTTTAAACATTGCTACACCTGTGATGCATTGATGCCACACCTGTGAGGTGGATGGATTATCTTGGCAAAGGAGACGTGCTCATTAACACAGATTTAGACAGATTTGTGAACAATATTTGAGAGAAATAGGCCTTTTGTGTACATAGAAAAAGTCTTAGATCTTTGAGTTCAGCTCATTAAAAATGGGGCAAAAACAAAAGTGTTGCGTTTCTAATTCTGTTCAGTGTATAATTTGTTGAAATATGGCAGCACTCACAGTGAAAAGACAAATTGTTTATTTGGGCCTTTGGTTCAGTACTCAGCAAACTGATGTTATATAGCCTGTGAAAGGCTATCACTAGCAACATATCTATATGACTGGAAAATGATCAATTTCTATGGGTTTACTATTTATAGAGATATGTTTGAATACTAAAATGTGTTTTCTTCTATAAACTACTGACAACATATCTCCCAAATTCCAAATACAAATATTGTCATTTTGAGCATTTATTTGCAGAAAATGTCAACTGGTCAAAATAAGAAAAAAGATGCATTGTTTTCAGACCTCGAACAATGCAAACAAAACAAGTTTGTCTCTTGATTTTAACCCTTTAAGGACACATGACATGTCATGATTCCCTTTTATTCCAGAAGTTTGGTCCTTAAGGGGTTAAACAACACAATACTAACGTCCTAATTTATAATTGTGATATTTTTAAACTAATTTATAAATAGTTCAAAAATATCAATATTTGGTGGGTAACCTTTCATCCACACCTTGATTGACCTGACTGTGGGATATGGAGCATCATTGTTCTGCTGGAAAAAACAATTCTCAGAGTTATGGAACATTGTCAGAGCAGAAGGAAGCAAGTTTTCTTCCAAAATAACTCTATGTATGTAAATTAATACAGTGGAGAGACGTTTTCACCCTCTGTCAGTCTGTAGCTTTGTTGTCCCCAATACCTGCTGCTTGACTTTGTTCTAAAGAACTGCTCTCTTTGAAACTTTTACGGATTTAAGCATACTGACGCTCATCGCATAACAATGCCAGTAAAGCCATTAATTAACTTTTTTTTTTTTTATTATTCTTTATTTTTTACCTGCAACAACAGCAGTAAGTAAGGCATTATACACGAAATCTTTGAGCAAATGATATGTCTATTACCCTGTCCCTTTTCTATTTATTTTTATCAGGATATAGCCCTAGAAGACGTAGGTAGACATCAAAGTCACAGCGATCATTTTCTAGGTAGAAAGGTGACAGTATATGTGAGGTCAGAAGTGAGTATCAATGTGTTGGGCCATGTATACTGGATTTCGAGCAAAGTACAACATAAAAGTCACTAGAATAAGTATACGTTGCTTATTATGATGTGAAAAATAAAACAGGAGTGGGTAATGAACTCTACTTATCCTCACTCAAAACCTTTATTTATTTATTTTTATTTTTTTTCTAGTTTGGCATATTTATAGGTTTCTTTCTGATTCCAATTACTTTGAGGTCATATTAACACTGCGTTTGCCATCCAGCTGGTCCTATTGCAATACTATAGTCCTGACGACAATTTTTGTATTTTTTGATGTTGACCAGACGTGTTTATTTTTAGATTTTAGCTTAAAACAAACAAAACAAAACCACAAAAACGTGCACTGAATTCAAAGCCTTTATTAGTTTTTACTTTTAGGGCAGCTTCTTCGATTGCAACAACAGGATTTCCTAGCTTGTGAAACTGCTTTAATCAGTGGGAGGGAACAGGCTGGGAAATTCCAGACCCATTGTTGACAGTGCTGTGTAACTAGCAATGATATAGATACATATATCACTTTAAACTCTTATCTGAAGGGAATGATGGCTGGATCAGATGTGTCTATCAGCTGTAACTATTCCCTGTTTGATGTCCCACCATCTACTATGGAAACCTTCTGCAAACTCATGGACTGCAGTGATGGGGACTTAGGATGGAGGGGGCTTGGTGAGTAGAAGTTGTCTGATTTCAGGGTTTAATTACGTTTAATACAAAATATGTATTATAAAATTTTTAAATATATATATACGTTTCAATATCATTTTAACCTTTTCATTGCCAGAGCATCAGACCTGCAATGCTAGAACTGAAGTAATATGTGCACATGTCAATTAAAAACTACACACAAAGTGAACGTGAGCACACTGTATTAGAACTTTCAGAGATTAATATGCAAAAAAAGAAGGGGTCCCAGTCACTGGAATTTATAGAAAAAATTAGAAAGCAACATAGCGTATGTGTTGCAGTGAGTTGATCTCCCTCCCACACTTATTTTGTGCTCACATGTACTTTGTGTGTTTTTTTCACATTATTATATTATTATTGTCTATATTTTATTTCATTGTTTGGACTAGTGCCGTTATTTAGGTTGCTGCATTACTAATATAGTTATTATATTTATTGTATTTAAATTAAGTACCGTTTATTCATTTAATTTATCTGCACTCTGAAACAATACGTAGCAATATGGTAAGTTTATTAACAAAGCTAATTTACTAAATCAGGAATTGTGAGCAAGTGCAAATTTCAGGCTAAAAATTGGAAAACATTCCCTGATTCTGCTATCTTCCACTTTAGCATTCGCGCTGAAGGAGATTACCGAAATACCCTTACAACTTCCTAAAACCACAGACAGAGACAGGGTTATTTACAGATGTGAGAATTGCTGGGACGTCAAAGTAAATTTCAGATTGATAGCCAAATATCCAAACCAATGATAGATTTGACTTGGAGAATGTTTCTAATTTGCCTATTTTGGTCTAAATTTTGAAATACACTTTGAATTCCCAGAAATTCTTACTTTAGTAAATAATCTTGAGATTCTTTCTTATTCTCTGTTTCTTATGGAAACTGTGGAAGTAAGAATGTTACTTTGTCTTATGTCGAGTTATAATGGAAGAAACATGTTATTAATTAACTAGGAAGTCTGCAGAGTCTACGCAGTCTGCATGCAACATGGCATAAATATTCATGTGCGGGCCATTAACATGGAAAGTGTCAAGAAAACTGTGATGAATCTGGAAAGCCTAGTAGAGCATTAGCTGGGTATTCACTAAACAATGGTTTCTAACTCTTTTTTGAACCAAGGTACATTTCAATGAGAAACACAAAGATAAAGCACCGCGCTTACAGCAGCAGCAGCTTAGTATCCAACAGCAGCTTAGTATCCAACAGCTTAAAATACATAGTAAAAACAAAGAGAACGTTACCAGCGCTCTGGCCTAAATCCCCATGTGCATTTAAACAAAATGGAGGCTCTTTAGTTTTATTCCAATGGCCATTTGAATATATAAGCTCACCTGCCACGTCAAGGCAAGTCTCAATAGGTGAGTTCCTACTCTAGCCATTAGATTTGCTGATATCAGCCAAGAATCTCCAGAGAGACAGGAAGGGGTATTTTATAAACCCTTTCACATTTAACCCTTTATAGGGCTTCTACACATACAATAAACTTTGCATACAAGTATAAACATCTCTAATGAGACAGGAATTATTGTATGTGTAGAAGCCCTATAAAGGGTTAAATGTGAAAGGGTTTATAAAATACCCCTTCCTGTCTCTCTGGAGATTCTTGGCTGATATCAGCATATCTAATGACTAGTGTATCACTCACCTATTGAGGCTTGCCTTGACGTGGTACAGCATTTTTTTTCCTTAAAGGAACACTCCAGGCACCATAACCACTACAGTGTGCTGTAGTAGCCATGGTGCCAGGAATGCTCTGGCATCCCTCCAATGTAAGTAGTTAAACTGCCTGCTAACAGTTTGAAAACTTACATCGGTCCATTGTGCTCCGGTCACCTCCTCTATGAGAGCCAGAAGCTCTCTGCATTGAGCTAAGCCTTATGGTTTTTAGGGCTTAGCTGATTGATTGAGAATAATCAGCTGACAAAAAAAGAAAAAAGGATTCAACTATTTAACACAAATGAAAACCTAACATTTAGCAGGTAACATATTACAGGAATGTCACAAGTCAGACTGTATAAAAAAACAAAACAAAAAAAAACCTGTTTGGGCACCATAACAGCTTCATTAAATTAAGTTGTTATGATGCCAGGTGGTCTCTGGTGCTGGCTCACCTTTATAGGTTAAACTGTTCTTAGACAGTTTAAACTTAAAGTCTGTGTTCCAGCGCCAGATCTCTCTGCATCTTTGTCCTGTTGAAAATCTGGAAATCTGAAGGTTCTAGCAGTGTCGGACAATGGTGCCACTGATTGGCTGAGAGTGCCCAGCTGATGCTTTCAGCCAATCAGTGACTCCCCCTTCATAAAACTTCCTTGAAAAAGGTACATCACTGATTGCCTGAGAGAGCTTTCTGGTATAACGTTTTTGAGCACACGGAAGGACAGAGGGGGCAGGGAGATCCAGCACCGGAACACAGACTTTGGGGTTAAACCATCCGTCCGCCTCCTGAAGCACCAAGAGCTGAAAAGGGCCTGCTGGAGGAAGATGGCCATGCCCAACGAGGTAAATCTTACCTTTACCTGCCCCCCAGCCACCGGACTCCCAGCAGCAATGTCACCGTTGAGGGTCTTTTCAAATTCTACAATGTCCTCAGATGATGGCACTGGTACTTTAATGCTGATCCTATTCCAATCCTATCTCTAATCCTACATTAACCCTACCCCTAACACAATGCATTATTACTTCACTATCACTAATTCTAACCCTGCATCTACCCTACCCTTAACTGTACACTAACCCTAACCCAGCATCTACCTTACACTTTACCAGACACTAACCCTAACCCAACATTAACTTTTACCATACACTAACACTACCCCTACATCAATCCTAATCCTAACGTTAACCTTAATGCTAACCCTAACTCAGAGGGATTCCCTCTGCTGACTTTAATACAGACATCAGCAGAAGGATTGTGAGCCCTCTATGCTGTGTGATTACAGCCTGAGATTTGGACCTACTTCCATAGGCGTGTGCACGGGGTGTGCCGGGTGTGCCTGGGCACACCCTAATCCCTGCGGCACGCCTATGTATTGAGACCGGGAGGGGAGATCTCAGGATCCCCCCTGTCGGCTCATGCAGAGCCGGCGCTATCTGAGTGCCGGCTCTGCTCTCAGCCTCCCTCCCCACCGACCCACAGGCAGGGAGGGAGGCAGGAGAGGACCTGGGGAGCTCTTGCCAGCAGCTCCGCCGGGTTCCTCTTGCGAGATCTGAGCGTCTCCGCGGTTACCGCGGCAACACTCAGATCTCGCGAGAGTGAACTCTAGCCCCGCAGGCTAGCGTTCACTCTCCCCACTAGCACCACCAGGGAAGGCAGAAAGGATCCCCCCTCCCTGGCATAAGGTAACAAGGGAGGGGGGATATTAAGCAATCTGCTCCCACCTCCACTGGACCATCAGGGAAGGCAGCAGCACGGTCCCCCCTCCCTACATAAGGTAAGAAGGGAGGGGGGATCTTTATTAACTAATCTGCCCCCACCTCCACCCCCACAAATCACCCAAACAGCACACATACAGCACACACACACATACAGCACACAAACAGCACCCACACACACATACAGCACACACACACATACAGCACACAAACAGCACACACACACAGCACCCACACACATACAGCAAACAAACATCACCCACACACACACAACATCCTCACACATACACCACACAAACAGAACACACAGCACCCACACACACACATACAGCACCCACACACACACATACGGCACCCACACACACACACACACATCACACAAACCGCACCCTCATACACACACAGCACACTAACAGTACCCTCACAAACACAAACAGCACCCTCACACAGCACACTAACAGGATCCTAACAAACACACAGCACACTACCAGTACCCTCACACACAAACAGCACCCTCACACACAGTACATTAACAGCACCCTCACAAGCGCACACACAAACACCCACATAGCACACTACCAGCACCCTCACACAGCACACACAGCAGTGTGTGTGTGTGTATATATATATATATATATATATATATATATATATATATATATACATATACGTGGCGTGTGCTTGTGCTTTAGGCTGCGCACGCCTATGCCTACTTCTCATGCTACAGTTCCTGTCTCTGACGATCACATATGGATCTGTGCTAGGCAGCAGGCACCACTTAGCACCAATCACCATTCTTAGCTGTAGGGCACCTCATTTAGGTCTCTTCAGACCCTGTGGTGTCCCTGTCTAGCAGACTATCTCAGAATTCCCTCAAATTCCGAAATATCATCATAAGTGAATGGGATCATTCAGCCACAGAGAAAAGAGTAAGCACTAATTAACAGATGGGCAGCACCACTAGAAGGCTCAAAATCCTTCAAATACAAAGATAGTGAGAAAAATAGAGATAAGGGCTGTGCCAATTCTTACAACAAAATATAATGAGCAGTAAAAATCACAACACATAAAATAGGTAAAAAATCCAAATATCAGTAAAAAGAGTCCAATAGAAATGATCTTACTCAGATCAAATATAGAATAAAGTGCTTGACCGGGAGTAATATCCTCAGTGTCTTTATCCTGATCAATACACTCATATGAAATACAAAAAACAGTGCTCACCAAATAAAGAAGAGCATACAGTCCACACTCAGGAAAAGGGTAAAAAGGGTAAAAAAGAGACAACTAATAGTGCTCACCAAATAAAAGCAACAATATGTAAAATAACTAAACTAGTACTCACAAGTGAAGAGCAGCCTAACTGCTCTTTGCTAACAGCGTTGGTGGTATGATCAACACCTCGGATTTCTTGGAGTACCGGATACTAAAAATTCCAGGTAAAAACCAAGTGTATAAAAAAGATAGTTGGCACAAGGAAAGTGACAAAAACAATCTTTATTACAATACACAATTAAAATTCCACAAACGCGTTTCGCCTCAAGGCATTATTAAAAAAATGTAAGAAATCCGAGGTGGGGGTCATATCACCAACGCAGTTAGCCTGCTCTTCGTTTGTGAGTACTATTTTAGTTATTTTACATATTGTTGCTTTTATTCGGTGAGCACTATTAGTTGTCTCTTTTTACCCTTTTCCTGATTGTGGACTGTATGCTCTTCATACTAGAGGATATTACCCGATCAAGCACTTTATTCTATATTTGTACGCTCTTCATACTAGAGTAGATTTGTATCTGTTTTTTTGTCTTTAATATGAGTGGATTCATTCGTATAAACACACAGAGGATATTACTCCAGATCAAGCACTTTATTCTATATTTGATCTGAGTACGATCCTTTCTATTGGACTCTTTTTACTGATATTTGGATTTTTTACTTATTTTATGTGTTGTGATTTTCCCTGCTCGTTATATTTTCTTGTAAGAATTGGCGCAGCCCTTATCTCTATTTTTCTCCCTACAGTGCTTTTTGATTTAACTAAACCGATGTAGTGCCAAGTGAGACATGACTAATCTAGCAGTCACTTATATTGTGGCCTGTCTATTATTCCAAAACAAGGAGCTCTGATATGTCCTGACATGAAAAGCTGTTAATTTCCTATAGTGGCACTCACGTTTTCTCTCCCCACCCCCTCCTTATCCTTTGCCCATTATCTTGCCCCTTTATCCACATATGTTCTCAATGTTACACAATGTGATGGGTTCATCATAGAACAATGCACTGTTAAGAGAAATGATACTGCAAGCTATGAGAATGTCAAGATTCTGTAAATGTTACATAATGCCATGTTAACATTGACCTGCGTGGCATTGAACAATTCCCTGTCTAATACACTGTGCATTGTGCTGTTCATCCATTAACAATACGACAATAAAATAAAATTTTACAAAAGGTTAAAAAATAAATAAATGCGTTATGTGCAGTCTTCACTTTGAGAGCTGCATGCAGCTGATCGCATTGAATGCCCTAATGTCAGGAAGGGGTTAAATTAATGGTAATTTTTATGTAAATGAGAATAAAAAGTGTAGAGTGAATGTTGAGTAATGATTGAAGCGTGTATTCGCTAAGTACGGTAGTGAACTAGAAACTTGAATTGCATAATTCAGTCTGGATTAGCCAATACGGAAATATTCTGTAAATCATCAATAGTCATAGCTTGGCCGCGGAGAGGACATTGCAGCATTAATCAAAACGTTAAACAAAAGTCTAAGGAAACCATAAAAGTGAATTTAACAGATGATAAAGCAATGAACACACCTGGGAATTTTCACGTTTCCTGTGCTTGGAAATTCCGCCCCCCCACCCCCCTTCCTAACTCATGCCATAGAAGGTGAGGAAATGGTGTTCCCACCCACAAAAAAAAAACAGAAGGGGGGAAATGCCAACAAAAAACAGGCAGTCTCACCTTAAAGTGTCAGCTGTGTGACGATATAACATTTACACCTTAAAAATAAAGTTTTGTTTTTGATATGGTTTTTATCTAAAAAAAGTTCCACATAGCCTGACTTATAGAGAATGGGAATATCTGTGCTTTAGAGGTTTGAAGTGTCCCTTTAACATTTGTAAAGAGTACATGGCTTTCTCTTTAGATAATACTTTAAAAGAACAATCCAGGGTTTAAAACAAATATATGTATTTATAACACTGAAGTGTTTGATAGTTTATTTAGAATTCTGGGGGGGCGGGGGGGGGAAGCTATTATCTCTAATCTAGTGGTGAGACGTCTCCTCACCGTGTCCATCCTATTCTTCCAGGAAACCCACGTCAGTGATGGTTTCCTGACAGAGGGCCTTGCCATGATCGCCATGATCTGTCAGCAATGAAACCGGTGTTTATATGTGAGAAGCCTCTCATTCCGCTCTGAACAAGCACTGTCTTGCTGACAGGTGGGAGGGTGCAGGCTAGCATCGCTCTAAAAGTGCCAATTTGCCTTGAAATAGGCACTTTTATAATGTAAGAGAGAGATGACACTCGTTTAACCCCTAAAGCACTACAGCAAGCTATTCATTTATTTTGCATGTAGCTGTATATCTTTCCATTGACTTGTTATGTCTGCAGAAATCAAAGCATAATATATTATATATATATTTCAAATCCCAGCTATTATACCCAACAAAAAATATAATGATTGGGTTCAATACTGCGTAAGATATGTCATCAAAAAATTAGCACATTTAAAAAAATATATATTTTTATTTAAATGTGATTTATTTTCTTTTAGCTGAACATATCTCCACGGATTGGATGGAGTTCCGCAAGATTGAGAGGTATGCAGAGCAAGGTAAAAGCAGGACACGAGAGCTGCTCTGGAGCTGGGCGCACAAAAACAAAACCGTGGGCGACTTGTTGACAGTACTTTACAAAATGGGGCACGAGAGAGCGATTCATTTATTCACCAACCAAGGTACAGGGAATTTATGGGAGTAGTGTGTATTTTGTCTGATACATCATATCCTCGAGCTGTTATCATAGTGATTGCTTTATTCGTATACATCATTACATTTTTGTGAACTGAATAAATTAATTGCAAAAATCGCCTAGCATGGTGGTACCTAATTCACATTGTCACAATATTTTGAAATTTGGAAGTCAAGCGCTTTTAACTACAGACAGAATCTTTGGATTATTGCTATGTTTTTTTGTGGAGCTAGTACTTGGTATTCATGTTTGAGTCCATTCTACTACAGCATTGGTTTCCAACCCAGTTCTCATGTACCCACTAACAGTGCAGAATTTAGGGATTACCCAGTTGTGTCCAAGGTGTTTTTAGAAGAAAAAACAAATGAACACTTTAGACACAACAGGGTAATCCCTATATCCTGGACTGGTAAGGGGTACTTGAGGACTGGGTTTGGAACCCCTGTACTAAAGGAATAATTGATGAGCACTTAATGGACTTGAATGAAAAAACATTAATATTAACAATATAATCTGTCCCAGCACTTGCTTAGATGAGTTCTCTGCCTAAATACTTTTTCGTCATATAGAACCAAAAATTTAAGTATGGGGGGCGGAGACAGGCTACTGAACTGAGCGGTCGCATGTCTGCAGTTCTCCGGGCATCAAAGGCCTATATGGTCGATGTGGTGGAACCAGCCTCGCCACTGGGCATTGGAGAAGACTGATTGCCAGCCTCCTGCCATGTGACTATGGCCCCTGGGATGTATTGCCTGCTCTCCTGTACTGCTGAGGTTTGCTACCAACTAGGTGGATTTGGCTATGGAGCTTGTCTAGTGCCCTCTGTTGGTAGCAATAGCAATATCTGAATAGCAAGACTGGTTCATTTGCATATTCGGGTAGATTTGCATATTGCTAATTCTGCAGGCATGTGAGATATTTTCTGTTATTTATTGTCTCCCCCACCTCTTTGAAAATATGCCATTGTGTTATAATAAGTCACTGTATGTTGCCTGCTATGATTTGACTGTTTGTAATTTTATTGTAATGACCATATGGGCTAGTCCCAAGGAAAATAACATTTTAGACAGTTTTTCTTGATCCTCAACATTTAATCTTGTCTCGTGATTGGAGGGGACAGCTATACTCACACTGGAGATTGCTATGCTCTGCATACTCCCTTGAGCCTTAATCACTTAGTTCTTTTAAGAGCTCTTGCTGTTATGCTCTCCTTGGAGGAGAGGTCTTCCCCACACAGTCCTGGATGCTGGAGGTGCATACAGGGTAGAAGGAAGAGGTCTTCCCACACGGTCCTGGAGGACAGAAGCTGATCCAGGGTGGAAGGAAGACGGTGAGACTCCAGTTAAGCTATGGCGGTTGCGGAGTCTGCAGTGGTTATGGTGTTGGCTGGAGTTCTTGGAGCCCTCAGGAAGCGCTAGGAGCATCCAATTACGTAGGGACCCAGTTGGGGTGCCAGGTGATCCGTTACGTTGGTGGCAGCAGTGGGATGGCATCCTAGTGTGAGGAGAAGCAGTTCAGAGACACCGGTAACGCTACGGATTTACAATTGAGGGATAGAGCTAGCTACCATGCAGCGTCCCTATCTACAACAGCATGGAGCGAGCAAGACCCTGGATAGAACCCTGCGAAGAGCACCTCAACCTGATATGTCGCTACGAGGGTGACGCTTACCTTGAGGAGGTAAAGAGGCGGTTTGTCTGGTATGGCCCAGATACTTCCAACGAGGTGGTCTTCCAAGTAATGTGCCAGTTGAGTGCCGAGAACCATGTGGCCATGGTCTTTGAGCAAAAACTGTGGGGGTTGAGTATATGGACACCCAATCTCCAGCGGCCGTGTGCGCCCCAGGGAGCCGAAGGTGTCGTCCTTTCTCCCCAGTGGCAGTGTGAGTTACAGGATAGCAGGCAATACATCCCAGGGGCCATAGTCACATGGCAGGAGGCAATCAGTCTTCTCCAATGCCCAGTGACGAGGCTGGTTCCGCCACAGTCGATATTTACAACCTCCACCCCAAATGAAGCTACTCCAACTAAACCCCAGATCGGCCCCAGTACCATGGGTAGGAAAACCAAAAAACACAAGGCAGATAAGCCGAGAGTGGGCATGAGCATTGGTGATATGTGGCGGCAGGCACATGGCGCTTCACTGCCCAAGATGGCCTCCTACATGTGCCCTGGAGGCCTTCAGCTGATGCCTATGTGACAGCCACCACATGAACTCCCGCAGTGGGTCTTCTCAACTAGACCTCCACAGGACACGGCATACAGTATGCATACTCTGTGGCTAGATACAGTTCTGGTTTAGTTAATAGTTTAATTATCTGTTTTAACTTATATTTCACTCACCAAGACCCGCACTGTTACTGGGCACTATCATGGGACAACACATGGACGTCACCATACATGGGTCCCCCTGGACAGCCACTCCTGGGTTAGTGGTTACAGGCATAGGAGAGCGGCACCAACTATCTTCCCCTCCCCCTGCAGCAAACATTACCTGCATTGCCCCACACCAGCGAGCTGCCTGACAGTAATCACCCACAAAGACGCCAGATAACAGAGGGCACGTAGTCCACCTACACTTTGTACCCAGCCAGGGCACATTGCTACCCCAAGACCCAGACTACTTCCCCCACTGTAAGCAAACTGCAGCACCCCTATAGTCCCAAGACCCAGGGTCTGCAAACGACACCCCCCTCCCCCCGGGGATCAAGGGTAATCATCCCACCACTAGTACCAATAGAGAAATTGAGGCTCCATACTCGGTGGGATTCCGCAAACCACTACAACTTTGCAGACTACTCCACTGTAAATCCAATGTCCACTCTAGTACACACACACTTACATATCTCAGATTAATCAATTAATGACTAATATCGACAGGCATAGTCCTTATCTTGTTGTAATTTTCTTAGGTACTTACAAGTATGTTTATTATAAAAATTGTGAAGTCTTTACTCGTGCCATAGTAATGTTTACTTTGAGTTGCTGTTGTGGCAGTACCGGTATGCACATCAAAAATATTCTTTATAGTTTTTATTTTTTTGTAATTCTTTAACCCCTTAAGGACCAAACTTCTGGAATAAAAGGGAATCATGACATGTCACACATGTCATGTGTCCTTAAGGGGTTAAAGTATAAGGCATTTATGTCTGGTATCCCAGATATTTAGCAGCCAGCCTTAAGTTAAATATCATGGGTGTTAATGATATCCGCCATAGCATCGCTGATATTGGAGTTATGAGTCCTTTGTTTCAGGGAATATTTTTACACCATATTCACTTTTTTTATTGATTTACAAAAAATAGATCTAGATCAGACGATTTTTCTAGTTTTTTTTCTTGCTTTGTTATATTTTCTTTGGGTGTTTCGTATATGTCAGCATATTTGTTGTATCTTATGGTGAAAGATTTTAAATGTCAGATACAAATACCAGTTTCAATGTTCTTTAAACGTTCTGTGTTGTTTTTTATGTTTTAGGAGCTGGTCTGGTCTGTGTACATGGCTCAGATCACAGGTACGCTGGATTGAAAAATCACACATTCGAGGTAACCCTGCACTCCACACTTACAGGGCTTTCAGAACTCCTTGTTCATGGGATATATTTCTAGATTTTATTTCTGCTCAGATATATAACATGTTATATTTGCTTGTGCAGTATGCAAAGACCACCACATGATCATCAAAATGAGTCATTTAAAGGAACAATCCAGACCCATGAAGCGCTTGCTGTAGTGCTTTGGGTGTTAACAGGATATCCCCTTGTCCAAATTTATAAAACTGCTTATTTAAGATAAATCAGCACTGGGGACAACCACTGCTCTAGGTTCTTGTTAATACTATATGTGTATAACAATCCATATTAGAGCAGTCAGTGCCTTTGAAGAAAATATTTTTGTATCAAAATAAGAATGCACTAGTCTTCATTGGGCTATAGCAGATCTTTTGGGGATCTATTTTACAAAGATCCCAAAAATTACAGATCCAGTGTGGGTTTGGTGGCTTTGGAGTGCAGGGTTCTACTTACCTCAAGCTGTCCCTCCCAGCCGCCTCACCTTCGTCCTGCTGTTCTCTTTAGCTCCTGGTGCTTCATTTGCAGGAGTACATGTGCAAGAGTACAGCAGTGAGGTCTGTGGAGGGTCCTGCAGGAGCCTCAATAGATCGTTGTGTGGAGCCCACAGCTGTCAACTTGTGACTTCTGCTGGGATCAGACAAAGTTGACATGGAGTTCCGTCTTTTGGCAATTATTGTCAAACTCCCTACTTTCCCTACTAGTCCCTACTTTATAGTATCTTTGGATGGCATTGGAATTTCACTGATGTTTCAACACAGTCCTGATCAGTATTTCATAAAGAAGATATCTTATGAAATATTGAAAAGTAAAAGATCCACTTTTAGCACGCAGGTGGACCAGATATTTTTAAAATTTAGATGTGGCTAATATCTCATCAGGTACTATGAAATCTACCATTGTACACTCCAGACATGATTACCATTAACCTCATGCTAAAGAAAACATGTGGCCAGTGGTGTACACACAATCCATGGGGCCCCGGTGCAAAACTGATCCATGGGCTCCCCCTCCCTCGACAGACACACTCGCAGACACATACATACAGACACACACATACATACACACAGACACACACACACATACACACATGCATACACACTCATACAGACACACATACATACATACATACAGACACACATACACACAGAGGTAATACAGTAAAGGAAAGGTGGTCTAGGCACTCCTTGGTTAAAAAAATAGGCAATTAATTGGAACCACAGCCATGTTTCGACCTTATTGGTCTTTTTCAGCTTGAACCAAGGAGTGCCTGGACCATCTTTCCTTTATTATATTACCTCTTTGGGAATTTGGTGTTTATTCCTGGTATTGCTAAGCACCCTGGCTCAGATAGATGGGAGTGAGTGCAGCTCCCTACTCACTCTAGACACATACACACAGAGACATATACATACACACACAGACAGACAGATGCATACAGACAGACACATACATACATACACACATACATACAGAGATACATACATACAGACATACATACATACACACAGACACATAAACACAGGTCGCAGGGTGGCTGGGCCCCCTGGAGTGACGAGGCCGGTTGCAGCTGCGACCGCGGTATGTACGCCACTGCATGTAGTTGGCATTCCTCAGATACTTGCTGTTTCCAACTTAAACAGAGCTCTCTATCTCTAGTAGCTTCTTGTCTCTAACTTAGTCACTTAATAAAGTAATATAACTGACACACTCTGGGGTAATAGAGGCTCTGTTGTGATACTCCAGTTAATATTTACCACTTGACTCTTGGTTATGTTGAAACTTATAAGCACTCATACAACAAATTCCCTACATTTATACAATTACTCAACCAGGTACGGTACAGCTTACTGTTTGGAAAATCTAATACATGTGATACAAAATATTTTTTGTTAATTTGTAACTGACGGACAATAATAATAGTATTATTTGTGTGTTTCTCTGTAGACCTGCGGAGTTCCCACTTTGGAGTATGTCGCAAGGGGTGTTTCTTTGTCCCCTCAGAAAGGTGAGGTGTACAATAGGGTGTGATATGAGAAGTAATATATAAATGTATGATCCGTAAATTGCATGAAAAACATGATAAAGGAAAAATATAGTGTTAGGAATGCAAAGCTGTATTCCTAACACTATAGTGCCCCTCTGCCCCCACGGTCCCACCCAGTCATGTATCTAATGCACATGGGGGAGCAATAATTCAAGTTGTTAGTAGAAAACTATAGTCTTATAAATATATGCAAATATGTATTGCTTTTATGTTTTGTCTCATTCGTACATGCTGACAGATTGGTTTACACTTGGGGTGCATCCAAAGGCTTTTTTTTTTTTTTTTTAACATTCCTTATTAACCGCACTCTAGCAAGGTCATGTTGGTTCTGCAGTATTCTCTGTGTACTGATCCATTGTCACTCTAAGGTCTCCAAAAACAAGGCTAATTAAATACAAGGCTGAATTGTGCCAGAAGACTAATGAATTACTGATTATCTTACTGCATGTTTTTTGGAAGTTGCAGAAGTGAAACACATAGTGCCTGGTATCATTTCCTTCCTAAAGACCAGTGGCATAATTCTAAAATAGGCAATGTGTCCATGCCACAGCTTTTACTGAACTCTTATACGGTAGTCGTCTCTAATAAAGCCATCAGTACACCCTAGTTACTTTAAATTGTATCTAATCCTTCTAATGGTCCATTCGAAGCAATCCCAGCAGGCCCTATATCACAGACCACAAGAAATATCTGCCGAATCTCAGTTGTGCAAACAAATGCCCCCAGACTTCAAAAGGATAAATGGAGAGGTTTTGCCACACAACAATCCATGCTGTTAACAGTTTTAGTTAGCCAGGAGCATTCTGATTATTTGGTAGCTGCATGGCCGGATTAACATAGGGGCTGATGGAGCTGCAGCTCCAGGCCCAGGCCCAGGCCCAGGCCCATGATATAGGCCCATTGATTTAAAAAAGAAAAAAAAAAATTTTTCTTCATTTTTTTTTTTCACACACTACTCTTAGGGATTCCACCTGGCTTTTATTTTATCGGCACAGCCAGTATTTGAGGCTGCCTGGCTGGTGCCAATATTGCAGTGATATTGGCAATACAAATGCTGGTATTTTTCTTAGTTTAAACAAGAGATTACTATGCAATACCAGCACTGGCCAGTAGGGGTCGCTGTATGTGGAGACAGGCAGGGATAGGAAGTTCCAGCATATCCCTCCCTGCCTATCTATACTTACTGATCTGCAGGGGTGCAGCTACAGAGAGTCCAGACAGCAACTCCCACCCTGCAGAGACAGCCTACAGCTCAGGGAAGTAAGGGATGGGGTGAAAGGCTGCAAGGAGACATACACTGAGACACTAAGAGACATTGGGAGACATTATGACACAGACACATGGGGACACAGTGTCCCCATGTCTCCCAGCCAGTGTCCCTGGTGTCTCAGTGCCCCCTAGTCTCCCAGTGACCCCTAGTCTCTCAGTGCCCCCAGTCTGCCAGTGTCTCACTGTCCCCATGTCTCCTAGTGCCTCCATGTCTCTCAGTGCCTCAAGTGTCACAATGTCCCCATGTCCCCCAGCCAGTGTCTCTAGTGTCTGTGTCCCTGGTGTCTGTGTCCCCATGTCTTCAAGTGTCCCCTATTTTCCCATTGTCCCCATGTGTCCCAGCCAGAGTCCCCTAGTCTCCCAGTGTCACTGGTGTCTTCGTGTCCATAGGTCTCCCCGTGTCCCCAGGTCTCCCAATCTTCCTAGTGTCCTAGTGACATGGGGACCCTGGGATACATGGGGACACAGGGAGACATGGGGCATTCAGACACTGTGATACATAGGATCACTGGGAGACCTGGGGACATGACACTAGGGGACACTGGGAGACATGGGGCACTGAGACACTGATACATAGGAACACTGAGACCTGGAGTAATCGACACATGGGGGCACTGAGTCATGAGGGCACTGGGAGACATGGGGGCACTCGGAGGAATCCATCTATACAGCAGAATCAAACTAAGTAGTTTTTTGGTGATTTTACAGCATTTTCTCTCATGTCACTCCTTGTGATTTACATCATGTGATGTCACCCATACATATTTAATTATGCAAATTAGTAACGCCAGTATGTTTTTACAAGAAAGGTGGCAACCCTAACTACTTTTCACATACTCTTACTTAACCCCTTTAGACCGGAGGGCGTACAATTACGCCCTATTATAGGCGGCTCTATACGCCGCCGGGCGTAATTGTACGCCCTCTGGTTTTTGCCTACTTACCCGTCCTCGTTGAAGCCCCCCGACCATGTGAGAGTGGGGTCCTAGCGAGGACCCCACAATCACATGGCCGGGGATAGCTGGCTTCTGTATTGCCAGCAGGGGGGCTGCCTGTAATGACAGGTGGTCCCCCTGCTGGCTGAAAATAAAATGAAAATAAAATGTATTAGTGTAAAAAAAAATATATATATACTTAGATCATATATATTATATATATATTATCTAAGTATATATATACACATATGCATACACACACGTACACCGTCTAGGTGTATTTTACTATTAATATATATATAATTATATATATTAATATCAAATTACACGTAGACTGATACTGGTTAAATATATATATAATTATTGTTATATATATATTTATATATAATATAAAAAAATTAAATATGTAAATATGTTAAAAAATAAAATTAAAAAAATAATTTAAAAAATTAATTAAAAAATATATAGATGTGTGTTATTTCATTCTAACTGTATTGTGATATTAATATATATATATTTATATCAAAATACACGTAGAACGAAATAATATATATATCTACATACATAAATATATACGTATATATCACTATATATATACCTATATATAAATAAAAATATTTTTTTAAAATTATATAGATATACACATATAGATTCACATATGTATATATATATACATATATTAATTCTACATATATATTTATGTAATATTTTTACATAATTAGGTATCTTAATTAATTACAATTAGCGGGACCTGCATGACAACCCATGCCGAAAGTAAAGGGAATTTAATTGACTAGCACTATATTTAACCCTATAACTTTCCAAGACACCCTAAAACCTGTACATGGGGGGTACTGTTCTACTCGGAAGACTTCGCTGAACACAAATATTTGTGTTTCGAAACAGTAAAATGTATTACAACGATGATATCGCCAGTAAAAGTGAAGTTATTTGCATTTTTCATGCACAAACAGCACTTACACGGACGATATTATTGCTGTGATACTTTTTACTGTTTTGAAACACAAATATTTGTGTTCAGCGAAGTCTCCCGAGTACAACAGTACCCCTCATGTACAGGTTTTATGGTGTTTTCAAAAATTACAGCGTCAAATATAAGGCTTGCGTTTCATTTTTTTCACATTAAAATTTGCCAGATTGGTTATGGTGCCTTTGAGACCCTATGGTAGCCCGAGAATGAAAATTACCCCTATGATGGCATACCATTTGCAATAGTAGACAACCCAAGGTATTGCAAACAGGGTATGTCCAGTCTTTTTTAGTAGCCACTTAGTCACAAACACTGGCCAAAATTGGCGTTTTTTGCATTTTTCACACACAAACAAATACTAGCGCTAACTTTGGCCAGTGTTTGTGACCAAATGGCTACTAAAAAAGACTGGACATACCCCATTTGCAATACCTTGGGTTGTCTACTATTGCAAATGGTATGCCATTATGGGTGTAATTTCATTCCTGGCTACTATAAAGTCCCAAAGGCAACGTAACCTATCTAGCGAATTTCAATTTCAAATGTAACGTGCTATATTTGACCCTGTAACTTCCCAAAACGCCATAAAACCTGTACATAGGGGGTACTGTTTTACACGTGAGACTTTGCTGAATAAAAATATGTGTATTTTATTGCAGTAAAAGCAAATAGTATTATGACATTGACAGTTAAAATGTCATGTAGAACTAAAAAAAAATAATAATCTTATTTTCTCCCATTATTTTCATATTAAATTATGTTGCACATCTAAATATTTGATATTAAATAAAAGCCCTGTTTCCCCTGAATAAAATGATATATAATAAGGGTGGACAGACATGTAGCGCAAATGCCAGGTTTTGTTTACATTTTGTTTCGTTCACAACGTGTACATTTGGCTCCGTCCTTAAGGGGTTAAGTATGGAAACTTAAGAGGGATGTATGGGAACAAAACTTGTGTGGACTGGCTGACAATCATTATAGTTAAAGGGACACTATAGTCACCAGAACAACTACAGCTTATTGAATTTGTTCTGGTGGGTAGAATCATTACCATCAGGCTTTTTGCTATAAACACTGTCTTTTCAGAGAAAATGCAGTCTTTACATTACAGCCTAGTGATAACCTCACTGGCCACTCCTTAGATGGCTGTTAGCGATCCTTCCTGGGTAATGGCTGCCTAAAATGCATCCAAACATTCAGTGTCTCCTCCCCCTTCATGCAGACACTGAACTTTCCTCATAGAGATTCATTAATTCAATTCATCTCTATAAGGAGATGCTGATTGGCCAGGGCTGTGTTTGAATCATGCTGGCTCTGACCCTGATCTGCCTCTTTGTCAGTGTCAGCCAATCCTATGGGGAAGCACTGTGATTGGATCAGGCCACCACTTCTAATGTCAGTAGACTGCTTGTTTTTATGAGTCTAACAGCATGCAGAGTTACAGCTTCAGGCTTGAATATAGGAAGATTTTGCTATATTTATGGAGGCATGAGGGGCACAGGGGGACTAGATGGTGGTGTTAACACTATAGGGTCATGAATTCAAGTTTGTGTTCCTGACCCTATAGTGATCCTTTAAGGTAATGATGGCTTTGGTCTCTCTAACACTGTGGCATGTTCCCTTTCTTCTACACTCACTACATACAGCTTTTCTCTGTCCCAGACTATATACCAGCAGCTTCTGCCTGCTACTAAGAAGGTAAGGAGACAAGTGGACCAGCGAGTGCTAGGGGACAGTCCTTAGAAAGCATTGAGTGAGCGCATCATTAGATGCATTTATGCCAAGCTCAGGGTGCTGTCTGCATAGTATGCCCTTAGTTGGCCAGCTGCATGATTGGCAGGCAGCCTGACATGCATTCATGCCAGGCTGGCCTTCTAATTCTTTGGGCAGACATGTCCTCTTTTTGGGCATGTTCGCCCGTTTTGGCAGGTTACGTGATTTGTGTTAATGGCACACCCTTTTACCTTCCTGCTTGACTGGACACTGCTGTTAGGGTTTATGGATTTCCTTGAAAGATGAAAACATAAATTAGGGAGAGATTAGCCTAGGGTATGTGTTTTCTTATAGCTGCTGTTTTCTATCTCTCCAGCACCATCTCCATCAGATACATGATGCTTGGGACTGTTTTACTGTTTTTGGTCGATATGGTTCTGTAATTAGGCCCGTCATAATTTCCAGCACCAGGCCCACTGGGCTCTTAATCTGGCCCTGGGTAGCTGTATTAATCACTTTTGTTATTTCAATGAGAAGGTCATATAATTAAGAATAGTTATTATGGGTCCTTAAGGGGTTCATTTGTAAAGAGAAGAGAAGAGAATACAAAAAGTTGGTCATCACTTTGAAATCTTTGTGTATTCCCTCTTTCCTTAAGTTAAAGCAAATTTTGCGGTATATCTTTCCACCACGCAGATTTCACATGTATTCTTTGCTTTTTTGTGTTGTGGTCTCTTACGGTCTGATGACATGTTTTACATGGCTGTCATTGTACTGACATATTAAACAGCAGGGGCCAGCTCATATACAGATCAGAGCTCAATCAATTTCTAGTGTAAACAACATTGACAGTACATTTTCTTAAAAGTTAATTTTAACCCCCTAAAGACTTGTAATGGTCTTTTTGACCATAACATACTGCTGTTTAAGAATCCTATTTAGATGGGGAGTGACGCACTCGTTTTATGACTGTAGGGCTGTATACAGCTACCACTGGTAAAAAAAAAAAAAGGTCTTTAGAGATCTTAATGTAATTATGGCAAAATGTAATATGTGAAAAACTGAGTAAAAAAAACAAAGAACTAAAATCGTAAGAGTGGTGGAAAAAATCCCGTTCATCCAGGTATTGGCAATTAGTCCTTAGGAGAGTGAGTCTAATGTTATGATTACATATTGAAACCCAATTAGGTGATGTTATACTAATACTGTGTTGGTTTTCTCTCTCTTAGAGAAAAGTCCCCTGCCACCTGTTTCGTTTAACACAATCAAAGACGTGACAAAAAACTTCCACCAAGACTTCCTGATTGGAGAAGGACAGTTTCTTGATGTGTACAAAGCAGAAATTAAAAACCAGATGTGTGTCGTAAAAGTGCTTAGAAAGGTAAAGTAACACAATTACTTTCAAGTGTTAGAAAACAGATTTTAAATGTTAAGATTTCATATTTATATTGAAACCGCATGAAGAGAATTGTGTGTTTTTTTTTGTGTTTTTTTTTGTGATGTTTAGGTTTTCATGTCAGTCAATTGGTAAGTCCCCCTGTATGTACCCTGATTGCTCTTAAAGGAACACCGTGGCTTTAGGAATACATATCTGTATTCCTAATGCTACAGTCCTGGTTCCCCCCTATGTTGCCCTCCCCCATCTGCACAAAAATAAAACCAAAAAACAATAAATAATAATTCCTTACCTTTTCTTCAGTGCTGAGTCTCCCTCAGTGCTGCCACGATCTCCTCCTCAGGTTGCATCATCTTGGAGGCGTGTACCCAGCATGATGGCTAATCTAATGCTTCTCATAGAGGAGCACTGGGGAACGTGGGCGTATGTGCAGTTCTCGACGTAATGTGCCTATGATTCCTCCATAGAGAATTATTGTATTCAATGCTTCTCTATGGCTGTAAATGATGTGCATGACGTCACTGTATAAGAGTCGGGAAGTAATATTCTAGGCTCTCATACCCAGAGAACATGGAGGCGTGGCTTGTATCCTCACTTCTAACCATTCTAATTAGTTCCATATTAGGTTTTAGGGGTAGGACAGGAGGGAGCAGGGCAGTAGGCACTATAAAAAAAGTTGTTAAAGTGAGGGCGGAGCCTGACCTGGATACAAGATGGCCGCATAAGCCGAAAGCTCCCAAGACCCAGGCACAATAAAGCAACATAACGCACACTGACAAAGCAGCTAAACCCACCAGACAGCCCGCTCACATACCAGGCAGCACACAGCCATGGGCGGCAACCGGAAAAACCACGACTCGCAGCCGTCAGTAGTCTCACACTTTCAGACACAAGGAGACCCGGTGCTATCTTCTACACGTGGCCAGGAGAACTCAAACTCCGACCACAGTGAGACCTCAGCCCCGGAGACAGCACCGCTGACGAAATCAGACCTCCAAAGCCTACTAAGAGAAGCGGCGACCGACATCAAAAATCACATGGCAACAGAACTGGAGAAACAGCTTCAGGGCATGAAAGCAGACATTGCAGACCTGGGGGAGCGGACGGACCAGGTGGAGCAAAGGGCAGATGACCTCATGGAAACAGTTGATGCTCAGGCAGACACCATATCTACTCTACAATCACGTGTAGAAATGCTGGAAAATGGAATGGAAGACCTCAGCAACAGATCCAGACAAAATAACATCAGTATCAGAGGCCTCCCTGAGACTGTAACGGTCTGATGACATGTTTTACACGATCTCCTCCTCAGGTTGCATCATCTTGGAGGCGTGTACCCAGCATGATGGCTAATCTAATGCTTCTCATAGAGGAGCACTGGGGAACGTGGGCGTATGTGCAGTTCTCGACGTAATGTGCCTATGATTCCTCCATAGAGAATTATTGTATTCAATGCTTCTCTATGGCTGTAAATGATGGCACTTTGCAAGCGCGCATGACGTCACTGTATAAGAGTCGGGAAGTAATATTCTCGGCTCTCATACCCAGAGAACATGGAGGCGTGGCTTGTATCCTCACTTCTAACCATTCTAATTAGGTCCATATTAGAATGCTCCACTCCACACTGCAAGAGGTATTTCTAACCCTCCTACCCGACAAAACCCTGAAGCCCCCCAGCCCCGACCAAACAGTCCCCCAGAGACGTGATAGTGAGGCTTCACTATTACTCCGCTAAGGAGGCACTTATGGAGGCGACCAGGAAAAATCCGCCAATACTAGACACCACTACGCTGGCATTTTACCAGGACTTATCACTTACCACACTAGCCAAGCGTCGAGAACTGAAACCTCTCACCACGGCACTGAACCAGGCAGGTCTGGTCTACAGATGGGGACACCCCTTTAAACTCCTGGTCCGTAGACCAGACGGACCTTGGACCTAATATGGGTAGCCAACCACCGCAACATCCCCACCCTCTTACTGTCCCTGGACGTATGGCCCTTCTTATTCGCCACCCTAGAGAAACTCCAATTTCCCGTTCCCTTCACGACAGCCCTCAAAGCGATCTACTCCACCCCAAAGGCAAAACTGCTCATACCAAATGCGCAGCCCCCCCCCATTTCCCTATATGCAATGGAACGAGACAGGGTTGCCCACTATCCCCCATCCTCTTCACCCTCTCCCTGGAGCCATTGCTACACCTCATACGCACCACCCCTACAATCTCTGGCATTACAGTACGCTCCCAATCCTATAAGGTAGCCGCATACGCCGACGACCTCCTCTTAGCGCTCACTGAACCCCTCTACAATTGGTGGAGGAATACTCAGAAGCCTCAGGATACAAACTAAACCTGGACAAGACAGAATCACTCACCATAAACATAAACCAAGACACTAGGAAGATACTGCACGACACACATACCTTCCGCTACAACACATCCCAAAGCTAGGCATACAACTACCAGCAGCACTCCATCGCACATACTCCCTCAACTACACCCCAATGATACAAAAAGCAGCAAACGATCTCAAAAGATGGCAAGACCTATCACTATCATGGTTAGGACACATAGCATCAGTAAAAATGAACCTTCTACCCCGCTTCCTCTACCTATTCCAAACCCTCCCCATCCCAATTCCCAAAAACTAATAGACAACTTCATCTGGGCCAAAAAAAGGCCCAGAATTAAGAGAACAACAATGTACATCCCCAACAGAACAGGAGGACTGGGACTACCACACTTTCAAAACTATTATTACGCCGCACAACTCACACAAATTCAAAGTTGGCACACCCCACAGGGGATTAAAAGATGGACGGACCTGGAACATGACTTATTCGGGTACGATTTCCCATCCCTCTATATATGGGTACCAAAGAAATCACGCCCCCTACCACCACCACTACCCCCATCACTCACCAACTCAATTGACATATGGGACAAAACGACCAGGAAATTCCCCATCATCAACAACCCGATCCCAATGACGCCTATATTAAGCAACAGAGCATCCCCCCCCAAAGACTTTGCACACTACGAACAAAACGACATATATAGACTACACCACTTCTACATGGGAAACCATGTAACCCCATATAATGACCTTCTCAACACTCAGACAGCATACAATACCCACGACTTCTTCCGCTACCTACAACTGCGAAGCTTCCTAGAACAACCCGAAAACACCAAAGCAGCCACTACTAAACTCACAATTTGAGAGAGCATGCACGCACACCCCACTCAGCAAAGGTCAAATTACAGAAAACTATACACTTCTAATCACGAACCAGCCCTCAGGGGCACTAGCCTATGTGGCGACTTGGGAGAAGGACCTGGGACCCCCAGATGAACCCACCAACTGGCAAGACATATGGGAGGCAACAGCCTCCATATCAATATGCGTCAACCATAAGGAGCAAGCCTACAAAACATTGCTCCGATGGTACCTAACCTCGGTACGTCTATATCACATGGGCAGGTCAGACTCGGACCTCTGCTGGAAAAATTGCGGCCAGAGGGGCACATACGTACATGCATGGTGGCACTGCCCCAAACTGGCTCCACTGTGGGCAGAGGTGGCTTCTTTAGTCTCAGAGCTCCTTCAAATCACCGTACCACTAGACCCATGGACATGTCTCCTCTCCAGACCACGAGAGGACCTATCCAGAGCCCAAAACAAAATGACAAACAGGATAGCCCTAGCGACGAGACGAGCAATAGCAAAACTCTAGGGCACCCCAAACGCCCCGACACTACAAACAATCATAAGCAAAACCAGGGAAGCAGTAGACATGGACAGGATCTCAGGCATAATACATGAAACCTCCAAACAATTCTACAAAATATGGGACCCTTGGCTATCCGACCCTTACCTACAATGAGGGCTCACAGATGACCACCACTGCCCTACCCCTCTTGCCCGCTAAACTGAAAAAGCAACCAAATCATCACAACACCAACACACAACAGAAGATGCACAACCCCAATCCTGACCGCTAGGTAATCATTAGCTCCTCAAAACCGAACCCCAGCATGGTACACCAACCCCTGTACATAGGTTCTTTATCCCTCCCCCAGTTGGTTACCCCTACCCACCTGAACTCGTAACCCTGCAGCACCACCACCAAAACCTACCAGACGAAGAGAAACCCACCCAACACTAAACCGGCTACGGCTGTGAGACCTAACACCCCACACCCAGTTACCGCAAGCATCAACACATTTGAACAGATGAACTAAAGAGAAACAAAAAAGAGAACAAAACTGAGGACCTTGAATCCCACCAAAACACACACCTGACACCTAACCAAATGCGGGGACTAGGAACACACCACGTAATAACGGCTTCTACGCAAGCCCTATGACAACAAAAAGCATTAAAAAAAACGCTCATCTGAATCAAACTCACTGTGCTACCCCTATCCCCTTTCTTTTCTGTACCCCATTTATTTCATTGAAAAACAATAAATAATGTTTAAAAAAAAATAAAAAAAATTAAAGTGCATATAGTGTCCCTTTAATTGTAGCTGCTGCCTCTGTCAATAACAATAATGATTTGGTGCACACTGAATGCAATGCATTTTCATTTGTAAACAGTTTTAAAACAAAACATGCCAGGCACAAAGTATCTATCTACCTATCATGTGCTTTTTAATCCCTTCATGACAAAGGCAAATCACATTATATCATGACAGTGTTATGTTACATGATTCTTAGATTACATACGGTATATCTATTTTTTTTTTTTTGAATTCTTTATTTTTGAGTGCATAAGGAAAAATAACATTTGCAAATGCGTGTATCATGCCCCAACAGCATGTACCCGCGATATAGTATTAAACATCAACGTATTTAAGCATGACAATAGAATACAATGCACATTTTATATATAGCGGCATGAAGACTGTGTATGAACTTATTGGTTACTGGTGAGGTGAGAGATGAGGATGCAAGAACCAACCGATTATGTTATATGGCCAGTATTACATACTGATGGCCCAATTTAAAGTTAATGTGAAGTAGGGGACCATTTATTCCTAGCTGTCTACGCAGTAAGCAACATTCTGCAGCCAAATGCGAAATTATCATGTTAGTTTATACTGTGTTCCTACCATTCTCTTCTCATTAGGTATTGTTAGCCAGGTAATTAACTGTGGTCTGTCTAAGACATTGCGGGAAAAGCTGTCCTGACCTAATGGCGTGGGGGCAGATGAGTCGTCGATGTATTGCTTAACTGCTTTAACAAGCGCAGCTGCTTTAACAAGCTCAAACATTATCACAACAATTTTACCATGTTAAGGCAGAAGTGTTCTGAGCATTTTTAGCAAGTTAGTAATGCTATACGTAACAGACGATCAGCAAGCAAATTACAAAGTGCGAGTATAGGATGTGTAGCGTATAGCGTTCCGTCGAATAACTAAACATAAGATAAACATTAAAAAAAAAAAAAAAAAGTTATAATAAAATATATTTGGCGCTCATTGTGTGTTGAGCGACAGGTGGTATGTGGCTCGGCAGGGCCGTAGCCGCAAATTAGCAGGCGTTTAGACCTGAAAAGGCTGCATTTAAGATAAACATTATAAAGATAAACACGAAGTATAATACGTGTAAACAGTAATGAGGTCTGTGTTAGGTGGGTTGTGTAGCCTTGTGGTGGCGGTCACTGTGTCCCGAGTAGGGTGCGATGTCGCCATATTTCGTTCATGTGGTGACTGTTGCATAGGGGTCGGGTGTTAGTCCCTGCGGTACAAATGGGGTTGTTCGGGACGGGTCCCAGGTGCAAATCGGGGATGATGTGCTTTGGCAGTTAGGCGGCGTAAGAGAGTCCCGTGGTAGGCCCAAGGCCTGTAGTAGCTGTGCTGCTTCGCTCATGTCGCGGATCCGATGGGAGTCTGTTCCCTGGTGAATGGTGAGTGTGTGGGCAGGCTGCCATCGATATTGGAGGTCTCGTTGTCGGAGGAGCGTGGTGAGTGGCCTGAAGGAGCGCCGCCACGCAAGGGTGTCGCTCGATAGGTCCGCAAAGAAAGTTAATGTCATGCCCTCAAATTGTAGTGGTGATTTTCCCCGTAATGCGGTGAGGATTGCCGTCTTGTCTTGTCTCGTGCGGAAGGCCAGGATTACATCTCTGGAGGCTGGAGTTGGAGCTTTGGGTGAGATGGGTATCCTGAAGAGATGCTCGGGGCTTATTTTGTCCGCTTGAGTAGGCGGCAGTATGCTCGTGAGCAGGCGCTTAATGAGTTGTGGTAATGCCGCTGTGGGCATTGTCTCAGAGATCCCCCTCAGTTTAATATTGTTGCGCCGTCTAGCATCCTCCTGTTCCGCCATACGGTGCTCCGTGTTCCGCTGCTGCAGTTGTAGGTCGCTCACGGTTTTTCGGAGCTCCCCAATGTCTCGGGTAGTGTTTGTGGAGGTGTTTTCGAGGATGCCCATACGGGTTGTCAGGCCTCTCAGGTCTCCCCTCAGCGCCAATATATCCTGTTGCAGGCTAGATTGAAGGTCTGCGAGCAGTTGCTTCAGGATCAGCGTAGTCAACGGAGTGGAGTCCGTTATGGGTCTATTAGGCTGTGGGGATATTCCTGGTGCTGGAGCCGGTGCATATTCTTCCCCCGACAGGTCGTCGGAGAAGTCTGAGCAGCCTCCGTGGAGCGCCGCCATGTTGGGTCCGCCGGCGCCACGCGCTTGTCTCCACATGTCCCCTATTGTGAGCCCGGGGGTGGCTTTGTCTGCGCTGAATTTCTTCGATTTGCGTCCCATGTCGTTGGGGATGTGTAGGGGGTCTTGGTTTCGTTTTGGGGGGTGCTCCGTTTGGGTATTTTGTCCCGTTTTTCCCGTTTGGGCCTAGGAGCTCTGGGTTAGTGCGACTGCTATCTGCTGTGGCTAGGCTCCGCCCCCACGGTATATCTATTTTAATGGTTTATTTCGTCATGTAGGAAAATTTTTAGATTACATATTATAGTTAATACTTGGCGTTGGATATGAATGATTATATAATGATATAATGTATATTCCATTATTCTTTAACTCCATAAACCATCATCGCAATTTGTTGTCATCACAATCTGGACCATATAGACTTATGCCAATAGTGGATGTTCTTCTCGTTTTGTTTTGGCAAATGCATTGATTCCTGCACCTGTTAAAAGCATGGGATCTTTAAAGAAAAGATTGTTATGATGACTTGATCATTAGAAGATTAATCCCTCCTACGATTAAAATGTGCCTATAATTAATCTGTACCTAAAGTTAATATGTGCCTATACTTACCACGACACTTACACCAGTTTAAGCACGAACCTATGTTTAGATGTGTGATTTAACGTTCAAACCCGCAATAGATTTGCCTGTCGCAATAATAAGCAAGTCCCATAAGCCTGATCTATACGATGTGTACTCAGACATTTTAACCAACCAGAATGTATAGACACCTCTCCACGCTAACAAGCTGAATACTACCTAATGCTTAGACAAGCAAAATCAGCGTAAAGGTAATTATCCGTTAATTAGCCGTACCGCTACTCCTGGGTGAAAAGCAGCGTGGAGATACCATTGCCCTACAACCCAGGGATCACCCCACGCAGCTTATACATCCCACATCTAGTCTGTGTGTAAACGCGCTAGAAACTATAAAAATATGTATAACCTTCCACATACAGGTTAGATTAATAGCAGAGACACACCGTTTTGCATTAACAAATACTAGCTAATAATAGCGTGCTCCCAACATGACTACCCTCATCTTAAATATAAAATTGTGCAAGTGTTATCATATGCCCTACTGTTACAACTGTCTTTTGGAATGAGCAAGTGGAATGCCATTGGGGTACCTCATGCATGTTTGTTACATCATTATGCACTACAAAAATAAAGAATAAAAAAAAAAACCCAGAAGATTAATCCCTTACTATTGTCTGTTTTCTGTCTGTTTGCAGGAAAAACAGTTACGAGATCAGAAACTCTGGGAATTATTTTATTCACAATGGAAAGATTTGCCTAGGTGAGCGATTTTATTATGTCTACCGTACCACATTCTCTATTTTATTAGACTGACATGGGATAGCTGATAATTATTAGAATTGTAGTCCAACAAGTGGAGGTCCATGACAGCCGTTGGTAGAGAACAGTGTAGAAGCTGAAGGACGATGACAACCATTGGCTGGGATAATGAATAAAAACTGCAGACCAGCAAATGTGAAGTTTGATTGACTTCACGGAATCAGATTATCTAGTGCTGTTTTTTCAGTATCCACTAGATGTCAGTAGAGAATATGAAGTTTATTTTTCCTGTGAGTTACTGTTACCCAAGACATTGTCTTATACTTCTGTGCTTGTTACAGTCAATCAGTGTTTCTCTTTAAAATATCTTTTTTATTATTATTATTATTTTATTACTTATATAGCGCCAGCAAAATTCCATAGCGCTGTATTTTATGAACTTCGTGCAATTAACCACTTGTAAGGTTAATGCATAAATGTTGGCAATCGCACTTGAACTTCATAGATTTTAGTTTGCACTTTAATGAGAATGTTTAGAAAGCAGGAAAATTGTGCTAGCTGTTGCTCAGACATCAGTGGAGATCAGTTACACGAAAGGACACTCTATGAGCCATGTCCTTTAATTTTAAATGTCTCCTAGTTTGTCTGTTTGTCAGATTGCTTTGTCTCCTCTGTTGGGGGTAATAAACTAATAAGCCATAATATATATATCTTTCTCGACCAATATTACCCGACAATCTTACTACACACGAACCTTTGAATTTTGGGGGCATTATGTAAGCCTTACTGACATTTTAACATCAGTGGCTCGTGTCTCCTGGTTTTATATCCATCGCAGACCTTGTTTATGCAGTGATATTGAATGTATGTTCTTCATTTTCCTTTGTTCGAATTGATTTTCTTTTATAAGTTGCCTGTTCTGTGTTTTGAGAATAAAAAAATTAGAATAAAAAAAAAAAAAAAATTCTTGCTAGTTCTACTTTTTTTAATTTACATTCCCAGCCTGGAATATGTTATACATAGCATTGACACGTTCTTCTACCAGATAATCTGCAACCAACATTGATGCAAATGCACAAGTAGGGACCTGAACAGGTTGGAGGATTAAACAAAGTACTTGACGTTTTTTTTCACTTACACTGGGAATTGTCAAGATTTCAGAATGGCCAGCTTATTTTTTATGGCCCTAACTCTACAATTCCCTGGTTGGTTCTTTCCTCCATCATTATGGCATTGGGATCACAGTTAAAAGGTTACTCTTACTCCTACCACCATGACCACTTCAAATCAGTGAAGTGGTTGTGGTGGTTAAAGTTACCCTTTAACCTAATAGTTATTATATATCAAACTTAAAAAACAAATCAAGCATTGTACCAAGTGACTCTTTCCATCTCATTGATTGTCTTGTCATAATACCTTTTATTTTTATATATCTTTAGATTTAAACATCCAAATATATTAGAACTCCTTGGATACAGTTCAACCTACGAAGCCACATGTTTGGTGTACCCGTACCTTACCAATGGATCACTCTTCAACAGGATACAGTGCATTGTAAGTTTTAAACACATTTAAAGATCTGATTGAGTTCTTTACTACAAAACACGGTCTATTTAAGAGAATTCATAATAGAGAATTAGATAGATTGTGTGTTCTCTATAACAGACACTAGTTCAGACATGAATTTATTTTGTAGCTGTCAGTGATTGATAACTGTAGCACAACAAGATATTTGCAAAGTTACTAGCTGGGTGTTGGGAAATGTAGTTTACGTATACCTGGATTCAGGGGTGGCTCTCTAATTAGGCAGTTTAGGCGGCCGCCTAAGGCCTCGCACTGGCTGGGGCCTCGCGGCCGCCTAAGCCGCCTTAGGGCAGACTGTGTTGGGTCCTCGGTCAGTATGCCGCCGGGTGCGAGGCCCCTCCTGTCTGCATCAGAGACACAACGGTCTGCAGCTCCGCAGTGAGCAGAGCTGCAGACCATGTGTCTCGCGAGAACTGGCCAATCAGAGTGTTGCGGCGGGTCTGACGGGTCTCGCGAGATACATGGTCTGCAGCTCTGATGTAATGGCCACCGGATCACCAGGGAGCCCACATAGGACCACCATGGAATAAATAAAGGTCTTTATCCCCCCCCGCCCCCCATCACCCCCTCCCTCTCACCATCACCCCCTCTCAATATCACCCCCCTCACCATCACCCCCTCTCAATATCAACCCCCTCATCACCCTCTCACACCCCTCTCACCATCACCCCCTTTCAATATCACCTCCCCTCCCTCTCACCATCACCCCCTCTCAATATCACCCTTCTCTCTCACACATCACCCCTCTCACCATCACCTCCTCCCTCTCAATATCACCCCCATAACCATCACCCTCCCTCTCTCATTATCCCACTCTCCCTCTCATCATCACCCCCTCCTCTCACATCTCCCTATCAATTTTCACCCTCTCATCATCCCTCTCAATATCAGCCCCCACCATCACCCCCTGCCTCTCACCATCACCTCCTCCCTCTCACCATCACCCAATCCCTTTCACATCACCCTTCTCAATACCACCCCCACCATCATGCTCCCACACACTCTCACCATCACCCCCTCACCATCACCCCCTCCCTCTCACATTACCCTTCCTCTCACATCACCCTCTCCCTCTCAATATCACCCCTCTCACAATCACACCCTCCCTCTCAATATCACTCCCTCTCACATTACCCTTCCTCTCACATCACCCCCTTCCTCTCACCATCACCTCCCTTACACACACAGCCTCCCCAGACACACTGTTAGCATCCCCTCACACTGTCACCCCCACACTGTCAGCCTCTTCATGCATCCACACTCACATTATCCACTCCTAATCCTGTTAACCTCATCCCTCCAAACTCACCTGCCTTCACTCTGCCACACTCACCCTGTCACATTAACCCCCCTTAATCCTGTCACACTCGTCCCTCCTACCATGCCACAATTGCCTTGACACACTTACCTCCACTCGCCCTGTCACACTTCCTCATCAAACGATGTAATTTTCCCTCTTTCTCTCTCACAATCCCCCCCCCCCCCTGTCCATTTACCCTCTTCACCCTGTCATACTCTCTCTGCCACTGGTACCCCTTTACTCACCTTGTCACAGTCACTAGCGGAAGACATTTATCATACACACACAGTCAGGAAACATAATTTTGCCATAAACACAATGCAAAAAGGCCACAGGCAGACCCCCATACACACAACACACTTCAAGCAGCTACCCCATACACATATGGTCCCAGATAAAAACGCAAACATGCTCGTAGAGACATACATTGACACACAAGGATACTCTCTGTCAGACACACTCTCAGGCACATACACAGGTAAACTGTGCATCAATGTGTAAATGTGACAGTGTGCATGTATTGCAACTCTATTTTTTTCATTTTGGTGTTAGTGGGGCCTCATGTTTGAGTTTCGCCTAAGGCCTCATAAATTCTAGAACCACCTCTGCCTGCATTGTCAAGTCACCTATCTTTGATCTACATGCCTGCCATTTTACACTTTTTTTAGGGTAAAAGCGACCCATTGCTTTGGAAAGTTCGTTATAATATTCTGCAAGGCGTAGCAAAAGCCATTCAATACCTGCACACCATGAAACCTTCTCCAGTTATATGTGGCAACATAACCAGGTAAATAAGAATGTGTTCTGTCTACTGCTAGCAATCTGCGTATTGTTATATTATAAACTCATTTAAGCAGGAACGACACCTCCTGAATTCCAATCTTGTTTTGTCACAGTTACTTGTAAGGATCCCTTATCCATTTTGTAATGGACTCTCATCCATTTTGTAATGATTTATTAAATAATAGCACTATATAAACCCTAAAATATTTATTTCGCCCACCAACAAACATTGCATAAATGATTGCACTAAGGATTTCAAATACATTTCACTCACAGCCTATAATAGGATACATTTAATAAATTTGAATCTATTCTGTTTCCAAATCTGGGTAAGGCTGATGATATTTCAGGGCTATTCAATGAATTTGTGAAGAATTGAAAAGGGAATTGTAAAGTTTTGTTCAAAAAGAGTTGATTTGAAGAATTTATCCAATTATTTTGAAGTCAAATTTGCATAAATCCTGGTTTGGTGAATAATCCAATGTATTTTATTTATTTCTCAACATCCTGCAATAAATCCTCCTATATGTCACTAATATACATGGTGCCATGATTGATGTGATGATGTTTCTAGGAGAACATTCTGTTACGAACGTAATGACATATCGGTACTCTCACCAGTTGGTGTACTTGACCCTTTTCTAGATATATTATATATGGCATAGATAGAGTATGTGAAGCATAGATCATCTGTAGGCTTTAACCATTTGCTTTGCTGTAGTTCATTGTAGGTCAAGAGGATAATACATCTGGGAGAGTTTAGTGATTTTTCTTTCCACTGGCGCTGTGAATAAAGTGTGTGACATTATACATAATAACATTGGGGAATAGCACAATTTTCACATTTTCCGCACAATGGTTCTCATTCTCATTTTCCCGTGTTCCAGCAAAAATATACTGCTTGATCAGCACTTTCAGCCGAAACTCTCAGATTTTGCCATGATCCATTTGCGGTCCTACCTGATAAATCACATTTACACCATAAAGATGGATCATGCCACCCTCAAGTTTCTGGGATACTTGCCAGTGGAGTACATTAGGAGAGGAAATCTGTCTTCTAAAACGGACGTGTACAGCTATGGTGTTGTGAGTATTAACCAAAATTAACCCCTTTATTCCAAAACAAAGTATAATGGCAATTGGAAGCACTGAGCAAATGTTGCACCTGTCAATCAAAAATACAGCACTTGGTAGATCATCCATATTTTATTTCTACATTTTACTGGATAAATTTATAGAAAGCAGTTAGTTAAACGTCTTTTCCAAAGAGATATTTATATAAAACTTTTGCATTGCTGCAGCAGGTAAGCATGTGCTTAACCCCTTAAGGACTCATGACATGTGTGACATGTCATGATTCCCTTTTATTCCAGAAGTTTGGTCCTTAAGGGGTTAAAGGACCACTACAGGCACACAGACCACTTCAGCTCAATGAAGTGGTCTGGATGCCAGGTCCCCCTAGTTTTAACCCTGCAGCTGAAAACATAGCAGTTTCAGAGAAACTGCTATGTTTACACTGCAGGGTTAATCTAGCCTCTAGTGACAGCCACTAGAGGCGCTTCTGCGATTTACACTGAGTAAATTGCACTTATTTGACGCTGGACGTCCTCACGGACCCCTTGCGTTAAAAAAGATCCCCGTAGGAAAGCATTGAGTAATGCTTTCCTATGGGCGGGTTTGAATGTGCGCGTGCGATCGCCTCTGGACGTACATGCGCATTCGGCTCCACTCGGGAGCTGACGTCGATGGAGGAGGAGAGGTCACCAGTGCCGAGGGAGCCCCGCACTGGATTAATGTAAGCAAATAAATGGTTAATTACCCATTTATTTGCCGCGGAACGGGGCCCTAGTCACCACTCAGGTGACTAGGGCTCTATATCGTGAGGAATACATATTTGTATTCCTAACGCTATAGTTTTCCTTTAATATGTCTGGATATCAATCCCAAAATGACTTTTATTCTGAATTTTCTAGATAATGATGGAGGTTTTAACCGGACATCAAGCTGTTCTAAATGGACCTGAAAACATATTTTTGGTAAGCTGCGAACATGAATGTTGTTATGCAAAATGTATCAATTAAATGGTCAGAGTGCAGTGGCCCTTTAGTTCTTAACAATGCAAACTAAAACATTGCCATTTAGTATATATAGCAATCTTACGTTTGTAATATTAAACACACCTCTACGACTGTCTTCCTCTTTGCCAATGAGGATGCCCCCATATAAATTGTTAGCATAACACTACTACAGGTACACATATCTGTATTCGTAACACTGTAGTGGTGTTCCTTTAACAATAGTAACCGTTGTGCGTAATGCTGTGTGTGTGTTGATTTAATTTAGACTGTGGGCACCATTTTCATAGTGGTAATTATATATTATCAGTGTTATATGTTGTGTAATTTTCTGAAGTTGTGATATGCATGGTGTTTTAATGGTGTAAGTGTTATTAACTGGTGCAATGTTTACAATTCTAACTATAACAGTCTAATGTGGGGTGTGCAGGGCTCGAGTCCTGCAGGAACGCATGGGAACGGCGTTCCTGCACTTTTTCCAAAGCAGGAACGCCGTTCCCGTTACCTGTCCTGCAGGACCGGCCCTGCTACCTGCACAGAGGGGCCAGCACACGCTGTGTTCCCTCTCCAGCTATAACTCTCGCGAGACCCACGGCTGTTACCATGGCAATGCTCCGCACAGGCGAGTCTCGCAAGAGTTAGAGCTGGAGAAGGAACATAGCGTGTGATGGCCCCTCTGTGCAGCGGCTGGCTCCCTCCACCGGACCACCAGGCGATCTCCCCCCTCCCTGACAAGGTAAGAAGCAGGGAGGGGGGAATAAAATAAAAAATATACATACACATAAAGTTTAAAAAAAAATGCTCCCCCCCACCCACCCATCATCCAGCACACACACACCCATCATCCAGCACACACACACACCCGTCATCCAGCACTCACACACCCATCATCCAGCACACACACACCCATCATCCAGCACTCACACACCCATCATCCAGCACTCACACACCCATCATCCATCACTCACACACATCATCCAGCACTCACACACCCATCATCCAGCACTCACACACATCATCCAGTACACACACATACACACACATCATCCAGCACTCACACACACATCATCCAGCACTCACACACACACACCATCCAGCACTCACACACACATCATCTAGCACACACATCATCCAGCACTCACACACCCATCATCCAGCACTCACACACATCATCCAGCACTCACACACACATCATCCAGCACTCACACACACCATCCAGCACTCACACACGCACACATCATCCATCACTCACACACGCACACCCATCATCCAGTACTCACACACCCATCATCCAGTACTCACACACCCATCATCCAGCACTCACACACACCCATCATCCAGCACTCACACACACACACACACATCATCCAGCACTCACACACATCATCCTGCACTCACACACACGTCATCCAGCGCACTCACACACATCATCCAGCGCACTCACACACATCATCCAGCGCACTCACACACATCATCCAGCGCACATGCATTCATTATACACACTCTTCACTCACTACAAACACTCTACATTCACTATACACTCACTACAAACACACTACATTCACTATACACCCTCTGCATTCACTATACACCCTCTGCATTCACTATACACACTCTGCATTCATTATACACATTCTGCACTCACTACACACTACATTCACTATACACACTCTGCATTCACTACAAACACACTACATACACTGCATTCATTGTACACACTCTGCACTCACTACAACACACTAAATTCATTATACACAATTTGCACTTACTACAAACACACTACATTCATTATACACACTCTGCACTCACTACAAAAACACTACATTCACTATACACACTGCACTCACTACAAACACACTACATTTATTATACACACTGCACTCACTACAAATACACTACATTTATTATACACACTGCATTCACTACAAATACACTACATTCATTATACACACTCTGCACTCACTAAAAACACACTGCATTCATTATACACACTCTGCACTCACTACAAATACACTACAATTATTATTCATACTCTGCACGCACTACAAACACACTTCATTCATTATACACACCCTGCACTGCACTATATGCATAGGAGTGTAATTTTTTTTTTTAAGGGGGGGGGGGATGGGAATCTTGGGTGAGTTCCCACACTTTTTTCCCCAGGACTTGACCCCTGGGTGTGTGTGTTTGCAAACTGTTTTAAATAAGCTAGGTGTTGTATAACTAGTGTGGTGTAAGTTTATTGTGTTTAAGTCAAGATGTTTGTAGAACTTCTATAAATAGCACACATACAGCTACATACGTGCTGTTTTTACCGTGGAAGGTCTTGTTTAAATAGTGCAGCATTTAAATTGTTGCAGTTGTTTTGTAACTAGTCCACTGTGTGTTTTGTTTTAATTGAAGTAATCAATGTATGAATAGTATGTTGTTGGAATGGAATGTTAATTGTTGTAGCTATGTAACTTGTGTAGTAACACAGTTGATGTGTGTAAGTGCGTGTAGTAAACTAATTGATGTAGTTATGTTGAGTGCGTGGTCTTTAAATGTAGGTAACTGATGCTATAGTAGTTGTTAGTGATGTGTGGTATTCTAACTGATGTGGTTCTAATACAAATAGTGTTGTATTTAAATTGTGGTAGCTGTTAGTACATGTGCCCTTTTTAAAAGTGTTTGTCTTGGTTGGCGTTTGTCTTGGTTGGTGTGTGTCCCTTTATTTGACATAGATGTTTTGTAACGAATATTGTTCTGTGTGTCATTTCAACAGCGAGAGTTACTGTGGGATCTAACAGAGAAAAATGGAGTGGAGTCTCTTCTGCCAATTCTGGATGATAAATGTGATAGCTGGCCCGAAGCTACTGCACACAGACTGTTGAGCTTGTCCATGGATTGCACTTCATCGCGTGTCAAGCAAAGACCCACCATGGCAGAGGTCAGCGCCTATGTTTTTATAGTATCATAAATCACTTGTGATCCTGTGTCTGGTAGATCTTCAGCACTATCTAAAAGTCTGTGACTTTATGAATTATTAGATATAATTTGTTAACAGAGCAACCAGTATGATTTATTCCACATTGAACATCATAATGAAATACATTGGGGATTCTTCACTGAAACAGGATTTGTGGAATATTGACCAAGGGATTAATCCCTTGAGGCCTCAATGGTCGAGATGAAAACATAACTGGATTGGAGACGTTTTTTACAATTCAGTTAAATTAGCTTCAAATTTCTAATTCTTTTGCCAATTCTCCTGGTTAAACACATCTAAGTGGGAAATATGATAACATAAAAGGGGTAATAGCTGGTTAGTCACATGCACCAAATGTACAAAAAGAACACCTCACTTAGTCTTTTCACTGCAAAGACTCTGGTGTTTACTGTTTACTGTAAGAACAATCAGGATGTGGAATTCTCTGCCTGAAGAAGTGGTTTTATCAGAGTCCATACAGATGTTCAAACGGCTACTAGATGCATACTTGCAAGAACAGAATATTCAAGGATATAATCTTTCAATGTAGGGTAATAACTGCTTGATCCAAGGATAAATCTGACTGCCATTCTGGGGTCAAGAAGGAATTTTTTTCCTAGCTTGTTGCAAAATTGTGCTTCAAACTGTTTTTTTTTTGCCTTCTTTTGGATCAACAGCAAAAAACAAATGTGAGGTAGGCTGAACTTGATGGACGAAAGTCTCTTTTCAGCTATGTAACTATGTGTTTTTGATACCGGAGAAACTGACGGAAGCAAAGCACAGAGGGATGGACACAGGTTTCTTCAGGAAGGAAGAGATTCTTTATTGTATCACCGATCGGGACTCAGAGGGACTAATGTCACCAAAAATACAGCAAGTTCAGAGCCCTGAACAATAGTGCAGGCTCCCTATATAGGCACATAACTCCTCCCATATTAAGCTCCACCCGCACATTCTCTTGACCAATCATTACAAATAAGAATTAACTTCCTGCTTGACCGCATGGCTTGTCCAGCACAATGGAGGAGGGGAATACTACATCCTGTATTCTTGCACATGCTCCGTACACTACTGATCGTATCTTGCCTCGTGCAACCAACTGATCGATACGTCAGCATATGCACGTACACATGCCACGTGGTAATCTCGGCCTACTAAATTTATTTTTACCGAGATTCCACCACATTCCCCCCTTTGATGCCTCTTGATATTTTACAATTACTTGAGGCATCACTTAACCTTGGTTTGCATACACCACAAGTTACCTTTGAACCAGACCAGACTTATCCTATGATGTGAATCTTCAACACTCGTCTTCCTGCATTGGTTCTCCCTGATCTAGAGCCTTATATTTATAAATTGCCATTATCTGTGCAGCAGCCTTCCTCTCTGCTATATTTTCTATCAGGCTTTGCACAGACCTAACTACTAAGGGTATAAGACACGGCAGGAGTAGACACAACATTAAAATCAGTAGGACTCCACCTACCACTGCCTTAAGCCCTCCAAACCACTCATACCAGCTACCAAACCAACTACTTGGATTGTACCCTTTCCATACCTGAGTAGGCACATGCGCTAGTTTAACCATATGGCTAGTAAGCTCAGCTATTGCTTGCCCTTCGTCATCTATTTGAAGACAGCAATTGCTCAGGTTAAACTTCCCACATACACCTCCCTCTACTGCCAAAAGATAATCCAAGGCTAATCTATTTTGGTAAACTGCTGTCCTCATCCTGGTATTATGCTTCGCTAGAAGATTGAGCGCTTGTGATGTCTCGTTAGTAATGATCTCAACCACCGCCTGTAACTTTATAATGCGGTTGAGCATATAAATAGGGGTTCTATAACCAAAGGTACCATCCTCTGCCCACATGGCTGGCCCATAATAATCTATAATACGCTGGGGAGGCCATTCATTATCTTCCCAGGCACCTATCTCTATGGGTCCCCTTTTCTTCCTATGATTCACATCATACACTTTAACACCTAAAGTCTCACCTGTTTCAATAGGCAACAAGAAGAAGGATGGTTTTAACATACCCAACACACATGCCCCTTCCCAGTCCTGTGGTAACTCCGAATAGGCCTTCTTACCACAGATCCAGTACAAATTCGCTGGGGCTCTCCAGTTAGATGTGATGGATAGATCAAACCATACGTCCTTTAAATTGGCATATCTTGCAAACGGGTTAGATGGTTCTGAGACATTTGAAGCCGACCACCAAGTTGTATTCTTTGTATCATCATCATAAGCTTTTTGCCCTAGACAAGTTAATTCTCCTACAGAAGTATTATACATCATTCCTTTCCTCGCTATGCAAACATAACCTATGATGGAGGTCTTCAATCTCCACTCAGATTTACCTCTAACACTCATATGATAGTCGGCTTGTGTAGATATTAATTGGTCAACTGCCTCAGAACCGGACATTACCTCCTTTGCTTCCCAAGGCCATTGGTCTCCCATGTTAGTACCTCCACACACATAGCAGTTGGTAACATTAAGACTACCGGCAATACTCTCGGCTAAATCAATGAACAAGTTTTTAGCATTATGGGGGATCTTATTATCTATGCTCATCTCTTCATAAAAGGAATGGTATACTTGATGAGTTTGGGAGGTTACCGTATCAGACTCTATCCCTATAAACAATATTGTCCCAGGGTCTAAACCCGTCCCATATATTTGAAACCCAAATAAATTACCATATTTATCTAAGAACTTGTCAGGGTTATTTATAAGTATATGGATTGGATTGCATTCCATAGACTTACAATATGGATTAGTAGGCAACTTAGTCACAATCATGTCCTTGTCTGCTGTCTGTCCCCAAGTCGCCCACCCCACACAAGACCAATATGGGCAGAAGTTATAATCTCTATTTGGGCATCTTGGACTTACATATTTATTTTTACTACTGGGACAAATATATTTATCGTTAGACCCATACGTCCTCTCCCATCTAAGATCCCCACATACATTCCACGGCTTTCTACCACTTGATATTGCTTTACACGCATCAAATAGCAGAGCACCTGAAGAATATACGGATTTTAATACCGTCTTATTAATTAGGGTCCCCTGAGAATCTCCATTTCTGAGAGTCAACCAAATTGTACGGGGTTGATACTCAGGACTGAAGCACTTAGGTTCTCCTACTCCTAAATGACACACACTATATTCTATATTTAAGTATCTACATCTTGATACATCTCCTTTACACTCATATTGCGAATGCCAAATTAGGGTCTGGGATATATGGTTACCTGTTCTTGTAGTCTTAATGCATACCTCACAGCTAGGAGTGTTGGTACCTCTACCTTCCTGAATATAAAAATACACATAAATAAACATTATTAAAAATACATCTTTCGTCGTCATCCTCAGTCTTCGTCCGTGTGAAGGCACCTCAGCTTCCAGGATGTAAGGACTGCAGGGAATGGAGTTCTGCTCGTCTTCACAGGGGTCCCCTCAAGACTTTCCCTGACTTATACACTCGTTGGTGAGTGGACAGGCTTTATTATGGCCTTCTCACTCACTTACCAAGTCTCTGAAACAATAAAATTTGTAATCTACAAGGTTCCTCGTCACTCCGACTGAGTCGTGCGTTTTAACCGGATCTTGCAGGGATTCTCTGGATTTGCTGTAACTTGCCAGGAATCGGCTGCTGCTGGTTTAACCCTGGAGTGATGTATCCACGGAGCCACTTCGGCTACTTTTATCGCTGTAGGGGTAGACAGAAGAACAACATAAGGACCTCTCCACTTGGGCCCTAACGGCACATTATTCCACTCTTTAATCCACACTTGGTCGCCTGGGTGGTAACTATGAATTGGGGGATAAATATTCACAGGTAATCTATCTTGTACCCATTTCTGTACCTCCTCCATAGTCTTACCCAACTCTACAACCTGCTGCCGGGTAATTCCTTCTCCCAACTGACTCAAATCCCCCCTTAAGTTACCAAGCACGGGAGGTGGTCGCCCGTACATGATTTCAAAAGGAGAGAGGCCCATCCTTCTGGTAGGTGTACTACGGATTCGCAATAGAGCTATGGGCAAGAGAACGTTCCACTTAAGTTGGGTTTCCTGACACATTTTAGCCAACTGATTCTTAATAGTTCTATTCATTCTCTCTACCTTACCAGAACTCTGGGGTCTATATGCCGTATGAAGCCTCCACTTTATACCAAGCATATGAGTCAATTGTTGTAGGCACTGATGAACAAAAGCTGGACCATTGTCCGATCCTATAGAGCAGGGTAGTCCATATCGGGGTATTATTTCTCGTAGCAGGAATCTCACGACTTCTCCTGCTTTCTCTGTACGAGTAGGACATGCTTCTACCCAGCCTGAATAGGTGCACACCACTACCAGCAGGTAGCGATGTCCACCCGATTTAGGCATCACTGTATAGTCAATTTGTAAATCGGACATGGGAAGTCCCCCCATAAACTGGACTCCTGGTGGCTTTACTGGTCCTTGTCTTGCATTATTTTTAGCACACGTTACACATCTACGTACAATGGCCTGAGTCAAGTTGGACAATCTTGGTATGTAGAAATGTTTTCTGAGAGATTCTTCTGTACTGTCTCTCCCAGAATGTGTCCCGTTATGATAGTTTTGGACAATTTCTACCGCTAGTGATGCTGGAATAACTATTCTTCCATCTTCTAACTGATACCATTTGTTCTCCAAATACTTTCCAGGTTCAGTCCTTAACCACTCCTCTTCTTGAGCTGTATAAATTGGAGTCCATTGAGACAGTGGAGTTGGTATAAGAGCAGCTATATGCCCCACATATTCCTGTCTTCCTGATTCAGCAGCACGCTTAGCTGCACTATCTGCCATCCGATTCCCTTTGGTTACATCACCATCTCCTCTCAGATGCGCCCGACAATGTATAATACCGACTTCTTTCGGCTCCCACACTGCTTCCAATAGTTGTAGGATCTCAGCTGCGTATTTGATTTCTTTGCCTTCTGAATTCAATAGTCCTCTTTCTTTATACAAAGCTCCGTGGGCATGAGTGGTTAAAAACGCATACTTGGAGTCCGTGTAGATGTTCACTCTTAAACCTTCAGCCAATTGTAACGCTCGTGTCAGTGCTATCAATTCTGCCTTTTGTGCTGATGTTCCTTTTGCCAGTGGCCGAGCTTCTATCACCTTGTCTATCGTTGTTACTGCATATCCTGCATAGCGGATCCCTTCTTTTACATAACTACTGCCGTCGGTGTAATATTGAACATCAGGGTTCTGGATGGGAAAATCACGAAGATCTGGTCTACTTGAAAATACTTCATCCATTACTTCCAAACAATCATGTTGACTTTCAGTAGGTTGTGGCAAAAGGGTAGCTGGATTTAAGGTATTTACAGTCTCTAAATGCACTCTTGGGTTTTCACACAACATTGCTTGATACTTGGTCATACGGCTGTTACTAAACCAATGATTTCCTTTGTAATCCAACAACGTCTGTACTGCATGTGGAACTCGTACATAAAGTTCTTGACCCAGAGTGAGTTTATCGGCTTCAGCTACTAGCAGGGCGGCTGCAGCTACAGCTCTTAGACAAGGTGGAAGTCCGCTGGCCACTGCATCCAGTTGCTTAGACATGTAGGCAACAGGTCTTTGCCATGATCCCAAGTACTGTGTCAATACTCCCACAGCCATTCTTCTTTGCTCATGTACATACAGGTAGAATGGCCGTGTGTGGTCAGGTAGACCTAATGCTGGGGCACTCATCAAAGCCCTCTTCACATCTTCGAATGCCGTTTGCTGTTCTTGAGTCCATAAGAAGGGGTCGTGCTCTGTACCTTTGATAGCTGCATACAGAGGTTTTGCCAGTATCGCGTAGCTGGGAATCCATATCCTACAGAAGCCTGCTGCCCCCAAGAATTCTCGCACTTGTCTTCTATTCCTGGGTATCGGTATTTGGCACACAGCTTCTTTTCTCTCTGGCCCCATAATTCTTTGACCTTCAGAGATATGGAATCCCAGATATTTGACAGTTGGCAAACACAACTGAGCCTTCCTTCTTGACACCTTGTATCCTGCCTTCCAGAGAATGTGTAGTAGATCGTGCGTTGCTTGCTGACATACTTCCTTTGTAACTGCTGCTATCAACAAGTCATCTACATATTGTAATAATACACACTCTCCTGGGATAGACTCGAAATCTAGTAGATCTTGACTTAGAGCTGAACCAAATAGGGTAGGTGAATTTTTAAACCCCTGGGGCAATCTTGTCCAGGTCATTTGGCGTTTCGAGCCCGTTACAGCATTTTCCCATTGGAAAGCGAAGATACATTGGCTTTCTGCGGCAATTCGGAGGCAAAAGAAGGCATCTTTGAGATCTAAGACTGTAAAGTAAGTAGCCCCGCCCGGAATTAAAGCAAGCAGGTTATATGGATTGGGCACGACTGGATGTATACTAACAACCGCATCATTGACTGCTCTCAAGTCCTGCACAGGTCGATACTCATCTGTACCGGGCTTTTGAACAGGCAGCAATGGGGTGTTCCAGGGGGAAGTACAGAATTTTAGGATACCATACCGTATGAACTTATCCAGATAAGATTGGATGTTCTTCTTAGCCTTCTGCGGAATATGATATTGTCTCAGGCTTACTGGATAAACCCCAAGTTTTAGTTCGATTTTAATAGGTGGAATATTGCGGGCCAGTCCTGGTGGGTTGTTCTCTGCCCAAACTCCTGGTATGTTAAATAAGGATTCATCACTCCTCGGGTTTTGGCTAGTCAACACTGTATAAAGTCGCCACTCTTCTTCCTTTGGTACGGACAATGTCATAATACCTGAGGGTCCATTAAACTTTAAGGATGTTGTTCCATTTGGTAGGAACGTAATCTGCGCTTGTAATTTGGATAGCATATCACGTCCCAGCAATTGGACTGGACACTCAGGCATATAAAGGAATTGATGTTTTACTACGTGGCCTCCCAATGTACAGAGTCGACTTTTAAGAACCGGTTTTTCAGCACTTCTTCCAGTTGCTCCTATTACAGTAATAGTTCTTCCAGATGGAGGAGCAACTTGATTAGTCACCACCGAATGTTCAGCACCAGTGTCGATCATAAACGCACTCCTTTTTCCCCCTATTGATACATCGACCATAGGCTCCGCTCGACCAAGGGGGATGGAGCCCGGTCGGTATCAATAGTCCTCCATGACCGTGTCAGCCAATCCCACAAAGTCCCTACCTTCTCTATCGCGGGACCTTTGCGCTGCTGGATAGTACCTATCTTCCCTTACACTTCCTCTGTTCCCATTACTCCCTCTATTACCATTACTCCCTCCGGGGCCTCCTCTACCTCTCGCTCTGCCTCTAAAGTTTCCGTAACCTGCCCTGGGTAAGTCTCTCTCATACTGCTCTCTTTGCGGACACTCGTTCCTCCAATGCCCTTCTTCCTTACAGTACGCGCACTGATTCCTACTCAAAGGCTCCCTATTCCATCTACCATCGCCTCTATCTGGGCCCCGTCTATCTACGCCTGCGATCGCTACCGCTAGCATATCTGCCTTTCTACGCATCTTGCGCTCTTCCTCTTTCTTACTTTCTGTTTCCCTATTCATATATACTTTGTTCGCTACCTCCATTAGTTGAGTGATAGACATACCTGCAAACCCTTCTAATTTCTGTAGCTTGCGCTTAATATCTCCGTAAGCTTGGCTGACAAAGGCGGAGTTTACCATTCGGGAATTATCAGCGTCTTCCGGATTAAAGGGGGTATACAAGCGGTATGCCTCCAATAATCGGTCATAAAAGACACTGGGCGCTTCATCACTTTTCTGAATCACCTCAACTGTCTTCGACATGTTAATAGCTTTCTTCCCTCCGGCTTTCATGCCAGCAATTATAGCATCTCTATAGGCTTTAAGTTGAGCCATATCTGCGCCATTTACATTCCAGTCAGGATCGGTGTTAGGGTAATGTGTTGCGGCCCATGCTGCCGGATTGGCTTGATTTAAAGCACGGGCTCTCTCCTCTAGCGCCTTAATGGCCGCTTGGTTAATCCTTGTCCTTTCCTCATTATTGAACAATGTCATTAATAACTGCTGGCAATCAGCCCATGTCGGGTTATGTGTCTGAACTATCGAGGTGAACAGATCGGTCATAGCTTGTGGTTTCTCAGTGTACGAGGAATTGTGGGTCTTCCAATTCAAGAGATCGGTAGTCGTGAACGGGACATATACGAAGACTGGGTCAGCATGTGCCATTTGACCTGCGGCATCGATATAGGCTGACCCAGGATTCAGACGAAGAGGCATCTGATAATGTTTTAATTGTTGGGTACCGGTCAGTTGTCGGGTTAGTATGGGGCTACGTGGAGGGGCGTCAGTTAAAGGTTCCGGTCGAGAGGTAATAGGGCATGAGGATGTGGGAACTTGATTTTGGGAAAAGTTAGTGAATAGTATACTCCGAGCCGAGCTAGAAGAAGCTTGACCGGAAGTTTGAAGTGGCGCCAAATCAGGATATTCAAATCTAATGGGGGTTGGTCCTGGTTCCGGAAGGGGAGTTTTAATACGAGGGGGGGTGGATTCTGTACTGGAGGAGGAAGCGGAAGTGGATGGGGGCAATAGGGGAAGGGGTGCAGAGCTTCCTGCATTCGCGTCACTTCCTCTTAAAGGAAAGTAAGGAGGCGGCAAAGGGATCTCGGACTCAGGGGGCGTGTCCAAAATGGGCCTAACACCAGTCCTAGTGGACAAACAAGTCCTGGCCACCATGAGGCGACATTGCTCCTCGTGGCATATCCGGATCCATTTTGGCGAGTCGTTTACGGCCTGCCCCCAACAATCAATGTATGGAAACTGTCCATAAAGTTCAGGCCTACCTGACACAGCCACGTGTACACGCTGTACCAGGGTTGGATCCAAACTGCCACGCGGCGGCCATGCCGCAACCAAAATAGGCCACTCCCTAGTGCACAAAGTGACCAAACGTACAGGAGACATTTTAACCCCAAAATCACATGTTTTGAATCCCTTTTTAAAATTCTTTACCATACAACCTAAGGGATCCGAAATCGTTGACTCTGACGCGCCCATACTTATCAATGGAACGTCGTTGACAACGAATACTATGCACGCGTTCTTATTCAACAGTCACACCCGTTTCCTCTGGCAACAGCACCACGTGGTACAGTTACCGAGTGAAACGTACACAATAACACAATAATCACTCAGGGAATTCCCGTACACACACAGCTGTTACACCAGTCACTAAATAATCAATATTATGCCCTTTGGCGAAACTATACAGTCACCCACGCTATAATTCTCTATATATGAATTACCCGTCTATAACACACCCCAGTAACATCGTCTTTTACTAGTATCGGTTACAGTACGGTTAGCATAGGTCAAAGCACAATTTAAGGTCACAATACAATTATTAGTGGTTACGGTGTTAAACATGCAATAGACGACAATGATTAGTACTTATATACAGTGTCAGTAAATATACAGGGTTATGGTACCGTGCACTATGATACAGCAACACACTATTAACACTCTCGCTAGACGGCTGAGCTCGCGCTATCTAACAAGATATACACTTTACTAACAATCTTTAACACATTTACAATCCCAACTAAACTATTGGCCAGTACCTTGAATGGACTACCTAAAACTATATACACCCGTTTTGGTTAGCCACACTGCCCAAACACCACATATAGCGAACTAGAGGGCGAAATTTACAAAATTGCCCTTCTAGTCTATTTACTCTATCAAAAGTCTAGTGGGTTCCAAATTTACACGCCTTCCCACTTAGCCAAGATAGGTTGAGAGCTAGCGAACCGAATTTACACAGGCGCCGCTTAGTCTCCCGGTCCCTCCGACCTAGCGAACGTAATATACACCCTAGAACGCTAGTCTAGACAAGACACCGGTGTCCGGCTAGGGCTATTTACACAGGACCCCGCCTGACTAACCAGATCAAACGGTCTTACTAAAGAGCGTTCGATCGAGCGGTGCGCCTTCGCTCCTTCCCTCCGACAGAGGGGGCAGATTCCATACACAGATTTAAACCCCTTTTGGGCCTACCGCACAATCGGTATACCCCTAGTGGGTCTGCCGTCTAAAACAGCAGTTGTCTTACCTCCTCGTTCCTGAACCTGAGTTCACACTCATCGACGGGGACACCCCAGCACTTCTTACGTAGAGGCCGATGATCTCCTGGACAACAGACCAGTGGCGCCGAGACGAAGGGAGGTCCACGCAGAAGTTCAGGGGTGCAGCCGTAGAGAACGTGGGCAAAGATAGACCGTCTCACGCCTCTGCCTCTCAGCTACCGTTGAACGATGAGCTTCCCGGCCAATGCACCAAATGATACCGGAGAAACTGACGGAAGCAAAGCACAGAGGGATGGACACAGGTTTCTTCAGGAAGGAAGAGATTCTTTATTGGATCACCGATCGGGACTCAGAGGGACTAATGTCACCAAAAATACAGCAAGTTCTGAGCCCTGAACAATAGTGCAGGCTCCCTATATAGGCACATAACTCCTCCCATATTAAGCTCCACCCGCACATTCTCTTGACCAATCATTACAAATAAGAATTAACTTCCTGCTTGACCGCATGGCTTGTCCAGCACAATGGAGGAGGGGAATACTACATCCTGTATTCTTGCACATGCTCCGTACACTACTGATCGTATCTTGCCTCGTGCAACCAACTGATCGATACGTCAGCATATGCACGTACACATGCCACGTGGTAATCTCGGCCTACTAAATTTATTTTTACCGAGATTCCACCACATTTTCATATGTCAAGATTTCAGACTCCTGATGAAATGTATGTTACAAAGTGAAATATTGACATATTAGAATACCATTTTCTATTTCAATAAGAGGGCCTAGAGTGCTGATTTTTGTTAAAGGGACACTATAGTGACCAAAACAACTTTAGCTTAATGAAGCAGTTTTTGTGTACAGATCATGCCCCTGCAGTCTCACTGCTCAATTCTCTGCCATTTAGGAGTTAAATCACTTTTTTTATACAGCCCTAGTTACACCTCCTTGCATGTAACTTTCACAGCCTGAATATGAATAAATACTTCCTATAATGAGCCATCTAATGTTTATACTTCCTTTATTGCATATGCTGTTAAATTTAAAATTCCTTAACTCCTGCTCTGCTAATAGCTTGCTAGACCCTGCAGGAGAACCCTGTGTGTAATTAAAGTTAAATTTACAGAGCAGGAGATAAAAACTTTTAAAGTATGTTACATCTGCTTGAATTTGAAATCATTTTGTTTTCATGCAGGCTGTGTGAGTCACAGCTAGTGGAGGTGCGGCTTGGGCTGCATAACCAGAAACAATAGTAAATTCTCTCCTAAATAGCAGAGACTTGAGCAGTGACACTGCAGGGGTATGATCTATACACCAAAACTATAGTGACTGTAGTGTTACTTTAACATATATAATCATTTGCCGTCTGTAGAAATATTGGGTTGATCATGTTGATGAAAGACCTACAATGAAAAATATATAATTATATGGGCAATCATGTGTCAGCGTTCAGGTGACGAATATACGTATATCGCAGTAAACTCCATTAGCATATTGCTCACTGTCTGAATTACAGCTGACATCAAACGGCTGTACACCTCTCCCGGGAAGCAGAGTGGTGTATTCACAATACACTGAGCTGAAAAACAACTTGCAAAATGCCTGGCTAGTTTAGAGACTATACTTCAAATACAGAAAAGTTCCTTCAAACGTACCCTAAAAAAACCCTATAGGTAAATCCCTCTGTTTTACGGATAGTTTGGAAATATAATCGGACGTCAACGAGTTAGATAAGAATGTACCCAATTGAAAGCATGCACCTAATTTAAATTTTTGAATATGTAACAAAAACTTGTTACGTTTAATTTGTAAATTGTTTATTATTATGGCCTTTTCAGGTAATTGAAGCAATTGAAAACTCCAAGAACAACCAGTACAGTGAAAATGATCCCAAATCACTGAAGTCTGTTCCACCTTCCCAATGTCCTTCACCAACTTCATTAAATCTTTGCAATGTCCCTGAGGAGAGTGACGAAAGCCAGGACTATCCAATCAGATTGCTACAAAAAAAGAAATTGACAGAAACTCCTTGCGAATGCAGTCAGTCGGAGGTCACATTCCTAGGAACACCCAGAATGCAAGAGTCACTGAGGACTTCTGGGAAATGTATCTCCTCACTGATACAATCTGATCCATCACATTCTGAGTACATGCTGCTTCCCGAGTCCATTTCACACAAACCTGTTGAGTGTAGCTGCTCAACGGAGACAGACAGCTTGACGTCCTGCGAAAACTGCATAGCAAGTGGATATGGACACAGCAATATCATCGAAAGTTAAATAGGTCCTAGATCTTTTTGGGGTACTGCTGCTTAGGAGAGCAGCATAGTCCATAGCAGCAGGGTTATGGTACTTAATGTCCAAGTTCATCCTGCTGGCTACATTGAAAGTAATGGTATTGAAGTAACAACTGCCCAATATATTAGACTCCAGACACAGTTTGTTACTCTAGTTACCTTTCACGTTTTGTTTATTAGTGCATAATTATGAAATCAAACAAAATAAGCTACATTTATAATAATGCACACTTCATCTTTCTTATATTTTAATAACACCATCCTGTTTTTAGGCGGGTTTAAACTGTATATATAAATTGCATTAAATGTTGCCCATTTTATTTAACTGTTTTTATGCTGGAGGAGCCAAACCTTTCATTATGTTGTTTATTCATAAAACCATGCGTTGACAACAAAAAAATCAAACTCGGAAATAATAAAATGGGGAAAAGATTTCTCCAATTCAAGAGTGTTTGTTTTTATTCCCCACGCTATTATTTTTGGCTCTTTTAGATACAATGCTTTAATCAATTAGTATCATTATAATAATTTATGTATAAAGCGCCAGCGCATTCCGCAGCACTGTACATGGGTACTATTGATAAAGTAAACGTACAATACATCAGAGACAATGCAAAATTTGACAGACAAATATAGGAAGAGTTGAGGGCCCTATAGATAGATGTACAGCTTCCACTTGCACAATTATATTCGAGGAAATGTGACATTTGCTAGAAATTTGTATAGATTAAATTTTATGCTCTTTAAAGTGGTGCCATACGCATTCTTGTACACACGTGAAAAAACTTTACAATAGTGGATGTTTATTTTTGTATACTTCGGCAGTACACATTTCTTTAGTACATGATGATATCAGGTATCAGGCCGTTTCCAGACGTATGAATGACTTGAATTTGAATTCTGAATCAATATTTCACGACTGCTCCCCTGGGAGCTGACTCTATATTGATTTCCTACTGAGATATTGACATATAATGAGTTTTGTGAAATTATTGATATTGTCTGATTTGTTTTTTGACATTTATTATTGGTATCTGCTGTTATACTCAGTATTGTACAAACCTCTTCTTTATGTTTTAATATTTTCTTTAAATGTGCTAATTTATTTAATTTGCCATTTTAATTTGTATTTTTAAGAATGCTGGACAAAACTGTTTGTAATACATTTTGCAACTAAGATGGGTACTGCATTCTTTATTACGTATTATACTTTGTTATTCATCATTTCAGTGCGATTTTCATTATTCATAATATTTATTGTCTGATGCACTAGCTATATTCATATGTATCTGTTTACGATGTGTACACTTCCAGGTGTGATTAATATGCTTAAAACCAGAAAATGTAAAAAAAAAAATTTTTTTATACAACTCAATTTTGTTTTTGTATTTAGTGGAGTTAATGAGTGCTTCTATCCATAACAAAAAAAATATCCTTTTATAAGCAAAATTAACTTGCTGCCTTATCTAACAAGATGTGGCATAGAACAGGTGGGTTCATAAATGTATTGTTTGTAAGCACATAGACTGTATCAGTGTTTTTTTAATTAACTACAATAATTACCTTTGAGGGTTAACTCCACCTCTATTGGTCATCTACCAGACAGCCACTAGAGGGACTTCCAGGTCATTAGGCGACATTTGCTCTCCTAACTGCATCTGGATGTCCTAACGCTATACATGAGGACATCCAGCGTCACCCAAAACCCCCACAGGAAATCATGTCGCATGTGGTGGAGCAGAGGCGGAAGCTTAACCTGGAATCAGGTAAGTGACGTAGGATTTTTTTTATCCCCGGGGAGGCCACGATGAAGGGGGGCTCTATAATGAGCTTTAGTACCTGGAAAAAAATGTCATTTTCCAGGCACTTTAGATTCCCTTTAACAAAACTAGCAAGCTATACATTTATTTTTAGCCATTTGGCGATTCGTCTAACAATCAATATATATCTGTTTAGGGCTTTTAGGACTCATGAGCTGCTTTATTAAACATTTAAGCAGAGTGATCAACATTCTGGTCCGACTGCTGGACCATGATCAAGACACAAATACAGGGTCATTCACTAAAATAAGAATACAAAGTGAATTTCAAACTTAAGCCAGAGTAGCAACACTGAAATTATAGTTGACTTAGAGAATGTTTCCAGTTTGGCTACTCTGGCCTTAAATTTTTAATTCAGTTTCACTTCACCCTTAAATTCTCACTTTAGTGAACAACCCTGATAATGAGTATATAGTGGTTTATATATGGCAGGGAAAGTAAAATATAGCCAGTTAACATGGCGTAAGAGACAAATGATTTGTGTAAATGAAGGTAACGCATAATGCCATGGATATATTTAATGGATACTTTAAGCACCATATCACTCTGAGACGAAGAATAATGTCCAAAGCTGCACAAAATTGATATTGCTAATGCCGAAGTATGAACTTCTGCTATAGCATATCAATGCAGACTACAAGCACTGTGTGCGCCTAAAAAAGGCAGGTAAGTGGCAAGCCTTTCGTAAATAGTTTGACGGCTATCTGTGGGATGGCGCCAGCGCATTTTAGTGGTTATGGTTTTGAGAGTGCTCCATTAACATGAAGGGCAAATGTACTGGGAAGTGAAGTCTAAAAGAGAAACACAAAATGAATACAGGCGCAATTAAAAAAACAACACCGTGTTCGGTGATATGTGATAGATACACTGTACATGTCACTGGTGATGCCATGACAAGGGGGCATATCAGAGTGGCATTCACACTGGCCAGTCCCACTCAAGTTCTTCCATGCATAGAGCGCTTTGTTGTGCATCATATATGGCATGCTCGCCCTCTGCTCTCTTGGTCTGCAGAGTTCCCATAAGTGGGGCACCAAACAATAAAAAACAGAAAATCTGGGACAGTCCCACTGAAAGTGAGACAGTTTAATGGTATGCATACAGGTAGACTCCATTCAACTGATTATATGTGACTTGTGAAGGCAATTGGTTGCATTTTCCTAGAGACTGCTGTGTCATCATAATTAACCCTATCTTTCCCAGAAAAATTTAGAATTATTGTCCTCCTTATCAACCCCTTTTCTTCCCAGGAGCACAGAGTAATGTCATCCTTATTAACCCCCCTTCGAAGATCCAGGGAGGAAAGTAATGCATATAAACTCTCTTCTACCAAGAATCATGGAGCAATGTCATCCTTATTAACCCTTGTGTTGCTAGGAGCATGAAAAATGCCATCCTTATCAACCCTCGCATCGGCAGGAGCAGGGAGCAATGGTATTCTCATTAACCCACTCTTTTCCCAGGAGTAGAGAGTAATCACATCCTTAATAACTTATCAACGCAGAGCATGAAGCGATGGCATCTTTTCCTGGAATAGGATCTGTGTATAAGGAAACAATATTCAAGCTAAATAAAATAATAGTCTAACAAGCCAAGAAGTCACTGAATTTAGAGGTTTGCATTGTATTTTCTGATAATTTTACCTCCCAAGTGAAAATGAATGGGCAATGTGCCCCCCTAGTGGTAGGCTAGCTGCCAACAGGCACAATAAAAATTAAAAAAGTAAAAAATGATTGTCCCTTATCAACGGCAGCAAAAACCTTCCTCCCACCACTGAATGACAACATTTCATGTATAGAACTGTATTAGAACAAGTTAAAAATGTGTTTTACAAAAGGCGAGCAATTTATTGTTTATTTTCATGAAAATTACCCTTTCCCAATAATATCACTTCATGTAAATGGCATGCATAAAAAAAACTTCATAATAAATTGAAAGTAATCAACCAAAATTCAATCAACATTCCAGCAGAAATGAGCGAATAACTCCAAATTCTGCAACTGCCTCATATTCCATCAAATCTGCCAGAACATTTCTTTTGAAGCTGACATTAGCTTTTACAAATTTTGTAAGTTTTAGAAATTCATTTTGTATGTGGAAAACATAAAATAAGAATGTCAGTACTAAAAAGAAATATTAACCCATCACAAGCCCATTTTCCCAAAGTTACTGGCAAAATATGGTATTTTTTTTATTGCATTTGAATAGTTTATGTTTTTCCCCCATTATCACAATACTATACGCAGTATATCTCTTAATTATTAATATTTGACTGCCCCAGAAGAAGGCAAATAAAAAGCCAACTGATTGATATCTGAAATAAACAGATGAATCAAGTAATGCATGTAACTGCATATTGCAGGATATTTTCTATTAATAAAGGAAGGTTACAATACAGGGATTGGAAGTCCCTGCATATAGCTTATATTCTAACATACGTATTACAATATAGTGAACATGGATCTCTGCTCTTACATTTTAATATGAAGGTTACAATAAAGAGAAAAGAGGCCTCTGCTCACAGGACGTACAGGAACACTATAGCATTTGGAATAAAAACATGCATTCCTAATGCTATAGTGTCCTGCTACCAATTTAGATCACCCCACCACCTACGCCACGTTTTACTTACCTTTACTCCATCACTTTACTCTAGATTTTGTGAGGCCCCAAATCATCCGCACATCACAGTTTACATTACCCAACACCCCCACATGTCCCCATAAACTACACCCCCACAGATCCTTCAACCAATCACATGACTCCTATGCCCCTTTAACCCTTTAAGGTCACTGTCATCCTGGTCTTTCACTTCTGAAGCTGTGTCCTCAATTAATCCACTCATCACCCCGTCGCATTTCATTGACCTCCTTATTACAGCCCCATAAGCAAAATATAGATTAGCTCCGTCCAGTTTCTTTTGTGTGGCCAATTATTTTTGATCAATAAACTGTTGGGTCAGGTCAAATATGACAAGCCCATCCACATGTAATTTTTAGTTTTCTTTAGCCGGGTGAATCTAACCTATTTCTTCTTTCCCAATTCCTGCCCGAGATGAATTTCCCACCATCCTCCCTATGCCAGTTTTTTCTTCTCCCTACACCGTAGAAAGATGGGTTAATTTCTCATACAAATGATTCTTCACTTTGTTCCTTCAAATCCCTAATTTATCTCATCAACCTTACCTCTTCCCTCTAGTTTCACTTCATTTTCCAATGTAATTCTATCACTTCCTCTCCAAGTCTCCATCTCCAATCAAACCCTTCAACTCATGCAATATGCCTCCTTATCCAATCTCATCATTGTATTTCCTCTCCATTTCGCATTGCACTTGTCTTCTCTCCTCGTTTCCTCCATCCTTTCCCCCCTAATCATTTTTACCCTCACTCACTGTCATGCCAAAAGCATGAGTTGGTGTTTGATGTGTGTTTATATATGTTAAGAGTTGTTTTTTGTAAACCTTGGGATGACATTTATTGTGGTCTTTGATCTTGCACCAGGCCTAGACCATAAAACATCTAGATAGCCATCACCAGAGCTGGACACAAGGAATTTCATAGAGTGGGCAATAGACTGCCAGACCAGCCCCCTCTGATCCCCCCCCAGGGGTCTGCCCACTGAAAAACAACTAGTTGAGATATATGAGGGTGTTGGACTATCCAGGGAAGTCAGTTATTCATTTTTCTTTTGTCAGTAACTTCTAGGAGACCTATACCATCTAAGACTCCCACAAGAATTCTATATGGGGTAAATAAATTTCTTGTGTTTTCTCCTATTTTATTTTATGTACTGTTTTGCAATTTGTTATCTGTATGTCATTTATTTCTGTATTTTGTACTCAGCACTGTGAATCCTTTTTGTCAGATTAAATGTTTACTTAATCAGCTTGTGTCTCTGTTCTCTATGAGCTTCACTCTCCAGAGGAAAGCTCAGGTAAACACGTTACCAAAAAGGGTTAACTATATATGTTTTATCAGTAAAAGTAGAACTGTGATACTATAATTCTCCTGTGTGTGGGGTAACCTAAGACGCCCGGGTTTAAAAGTCTTGGTGGTGGCAGTAGTACTAAGGGGGATAGTGTAGAAGGGATTGCAGGGGTTAATTGAGTGGTTGCTGGGACTAGCAACAGGTAACCAGGGGTCTGGTGTCATTAACCCTGTCACTTCCACACTCTCCCCACTGTCTCGGCTGGGCCTATAGCCCACGCACGTGACACTCACTACCAATACTGGTACTCTAATTCTATCCTTCCATGCACCCAGTCCTTTATAGAACTATAAAAAATGCTGTCCCAAACTAATTATGTATTCTTGCTTATTGTCATTTCTAATTGCAAACGTCTGCAACATAAAAAAATGATAAAATCAAATATACTTCTGTTTTGTTTCCATGCTGTAATTCTGCCCATTATCTGTTGCAATGACATGTTCCTGATTAAATGTAATATGACAGAAAAGAAAAATAAGACTCTAAGGAAATAACAAAACACACGACAATTGTCTTCTTACCAAATGACTTGGGCAGAATTATATA